ATACATACATTTATATAGAATTCTAGAAAGGGCAAAATTTTAATGACAAAATGCAGACTTACATTGCCTGGGTGTATGGTAGGGAGGATATGGGGAAGTCAGGTAAGAAGATCCAAGGGCTCAAGAAAACTAAAGTGATGAAAATTTTCTACGTATGGATTGTGGCGATAGTTATATGACTATATATTACTACTAAAATTCATCAAACTGTACACTTAAAATGAATGCATTTTGAAAAATATTTTTACATGTTTATAGACTTTATTTTTAAAGAGATTTTATTTTTAGGGAGAGGGGAAGGGAGGGAGAAAAGAAAAGAGGGAGAGACACATCTATGTGAGAGAGAAATATCTATCAGTTGCCTCTTGCACAAGGACCTGGCCCACAACCTGGCCCGCAACCCAGGCTTGGCATCAAACCGGTGGCCTTTCACTTTGCAGGACACTGCCCAACCAACGGAGCCATGCTGGCCAGGGCTGTTTATTGATTTTAGGGAGACATAAAGGGGGAGAGAGAGAGAAACATCAACTGATTGCTTCCCATACATGCTGCAACCAACTGAGCCATACTTGGCCAGGACAAAAATGAATGCATTTTATTCTATGTAAATTATACCTCAATAAAGATGGAGAATAAAATCATCATAATATACAATGTAAAATTTGTACAAGTTCCTTCATGTGAAAAATAGCTATAATAAACAAACTTTAAAAATAAAAAAAAAAACTTAAAAGTGACCCTGACAGGAATATAGATTTAATTTTTTGCTTCTATATATTCTAATTTATCCACAATGATGTTATTTTCTATACTTAATCAATTATTTCCTTAAGTGCTGATGACTTAACTGAAGTAAACAGAGAGGTGCTACTTGGTTTGGTGGTACTGTGTCAGGGAGGGTATTTGAACTTGGATCTCCATATTCTGCCATTCTACTCTTTTGCAGGGCTCTAGGGAAGAACTTCGTGAACTTCCCTGATAAGAAGTCTTGGGTGCTTAAAACAACTGTTCTTGTGCCACACTACTGAACCTCTTTGGTTAATAAGCCCTCAAAGATGATTCTTCCCATTGGGAAATTTGATGGAACCACTGCCTAGATGTGGTATCTGAAACCTCAAGAATATTTTCTTCTCTTTACAAACATATTAAGAGTCTGTCATTGATGCCAAGTAATCTCACTGTGTATCAGATACCCTACATAGAATCTATTACCATTAATCCTTTCTGGAAAGTCTTCTTTCTTATGAAGCCATCCCTGACTTCAAGCATTCCAACATTCACATAATAGGGGTGCCAGAAGGAGAAGAGAAAAAGAAACTGAAAATCTATTTGAAAAAAGCAATAAAAGAAAACTTCCCTAATTTGGTGAAGGAAATAGACATGCAAGTCCAGGAAGCAGAGAATCCCAAACAAGATGGATGCAAAGAGGCCCACCCTAAGACACATCATAATTAAAATGCCAAAGGTTAAAGATAAACAGAGAATCTTAAGAGCAGCAAGAGAAAAGCAGTTAGTTACCTACAGGAAGTTTCCATGCGACTGTCAGCTGATTTCTCAAAAGAAATTTGGCAGGCTACATGGGATTGGCAAGAAGTATTCAAAGTCATGAAAAGTGGGGACCTATGTCCAAGATTGTTCGACCCAGCAAAACTATCATTTAGAATGGAAAGGCAGATAAAGAGCTTCCCAGACAAGAAAAAACTAAAGGAGTTCATCATCACCAAGCCATTATTACAGGAAATGTTAAAGGGGCTTATTTAAGATAAAAATTATGAACAATAAAATTGCAATAAATACATATCTATCAACAATTGAATCTAAAAAACAAACTAAGCAAACAAGAACAGAGAGAGAATCATGGATACAGAAAGTGTTTTGATCATTGCCAGGTGGGAGAGGGGTGTAGAGGAATGGGTGACGTGGTATGGGGATTAAGGAGTACAAATACATAATTGTATAACAGCCATAAGGAGGTAAAGTAATGTAGAGGAAATGGAGTAGCCAAAGAACCTAATTAAACTCATGACTCATGGACATGAACAATGGTGTCAGGACTTCTTGAGGGAGTGGGGGATGCTGGGTGGAGGGGGGTAAAGGTAGAAGAATCAGGACAATTGTAATAGCATAATCAATAAAATATAATTAAAAAATACAAAAATAAATAATAATAAAGAGAAATCTCTGGGAAAGCTCCCACGTTGCAGCCAATGTTGAAAAATCGTGGAAATGATTAAGCCTGAGCTCCTTAATGTAGCCAAGAAAGTCCAACTCTGAAAAGCTGTATCTACCTTTCTAGCCTTACTTTGCATCATACCTTTGCATATGCACATTATACTCCAGCCTCACTGAACTACCTGCAATTCTCAAAACCTGTAGTATGTTCATGCTTCTGGGCCTTTGTTAAGGTTGTGCTCTGTGAATGCTTCGACTGCCCTAGCAAAGTTATTCATCCCTAAGTACAAAATTACCACTTTGCCTTCCCTTTAGGGACCTGACACATTTACGCAGGCAGTCAATCCTTCCCTTCTCTGTGCTAACAACCAGCCCTCTTTGTATAGAGCTCTATTACTATACTCATCACATTATATTAATGGGCTACAAATATTATATCTTGAGCACAGGAACTATGGGTGGTTCATGGTTATATTCCTAACACCTAGCAAAGGGCTGGGAATAGAGTACGCAGCCATTAATGTTCGTAGACTTAGTGAAAGTACTGTAAAAAACCAAAATCAAAACAAGCACGAATATTACCCTTTAAAAAAAAAAACATTAAAATCTTAATTAGAAAATAATTTTTAAGCTGTGAATTGCATTTGGAGAAATACACACGAAAGCACTCCTAAGCCTTTTCCTTATTTCAGTATCATAATTTGGTCCACATGTTTATTCTAAGGCCTATTAACATAAAATTAACCAGTTTAAAGTTCAGTGTCATTTAGTAAATTCACAATGTTATGCAACCACCACCTATATTAAGTTCCAAAATAATTTTTAAAAAATTTTATTTATTGATTTGAGAGGGAGGGAGAAAAAGGGAGGGAGGGAGGGAGGGAGAAAAAGGGAGGGAGGGAGGGAAGGGGGGAGAGAGAGGGAGAGGGAGAGAGGAGCGTTGATTGTTGTTCCACTTATTTATGTATTCATTGGTTGTTTCTTGTATGTGCCCTGATACAAGAAACCTTCAGCCTTGGCATATCGGGACGGGACGGTGCTGTAACCAACTGAGCTAGGTTGCCAGGGCACTCTCAAATTATTTTCATCACCCTAAAGGAAAACCCTGCATTTATCAAGCAGTCAGTCATTCCCCATTCTCTTTGTAGCTCTTGGAAGCCACCAGGTACATTAACTTTTAGGTTACAGTAAGAAGTTCAAAAGATAAAAAGCAGATATTTAAGGAGATGCAAATTCCAAATGGTTGCACAATTGCTTCTAGTCACACAGAAAAGAGCACAAGTCCAGTTTTTTCAATAATCTCAAAAACTCCAATGTTTTATTAACAGTTTTATGTACATTAATATCAAGTCATGAAAACTGATTAAACATGTTCAGAGTTTCTTATATAGTCGATGTACAAATGGTCACTTATATTTTGCTCATTAGTAATAAAGATGAAAATGACACATAGTTATAATTACATAAAAATATATACAAGAAAAAAAATATATATAAGGATTCAAGACAGATTTGATGTTATTTAGCTTATAACGTGTAGATACTACACACAAAAAGGAGGCTGTAATTTTCAGAAAAGTAAAACGTGACAAACATCACTTTTCTTAGAACTTAAAAATAAAATTCCTGACAACAGTAATTACTAATTTATGGGCAAGTATTAGACTACTTCAAAGTAGCCAGGGTTAGACACAGCTTAAGTTAAGCACTTTGCATTTGAAAACAATAAGATATTTCAGTCAAAAAATATACATTTGATAACATTTTCTCAAAAATAATTATGAATGTCTTATCCATATCCTTCCAGATTCTGAAAATACACTAGAAAAAGTGAATATTGAACAGCTGATTCTTTGGAAAGCTGTACCCCTACCTAGTCCTGGAAAACATCCTTAAGGGGCCTAAGTGATCAATCCTAATGGGAAACTCACAATGCACCAATAATACTGAGAACAAAGAGGAGGAAATAATAACCAGTTGTTTACTGATATAATTTATAATTATTAGGTATGAGGGGATGTTAATGTAGTTTAGAAAAAGGTTCAACTATTCTTAGGGAATCAATTAGACCTTGAGAATGACTACTCTTATGACTACTCAAAAATAATATTCACACATTATCATGGTGCTACCTCATTAACAGAAAATTTCGTTTCTAAAAGCTCTTATCTCTATTTTATTTTACTGGCTTGAGACGCAGATTCTTGTTATGAGAATTACATGATGTAATAGAATCATGTATAGTTAATGGTTCAGAAAACAAAATCATAGTAGTTTAAAAAAGGAGCAAGTATCTCTTTCATTAGCCAGTGACATCAGGCTAAGAGGTCTTGGGGTTGAAAAGCAAGGGGTGTGGGTAGTACATGGGCTCAGGTACAAATCTGCTTATGCTCAAGGAGACAAAGGGCGGGAACAGGGATCTAGACAACCTAGAAATGGTAGTGGCATCTGGATGTGGAGTTACCACAGTGGGTCAGAGAGAGGCTAGTGCATTGTCTTCTGGCCCAGCTGCTATGGGAACCAACCTCTACCCAATATGAAATTGAAAACACAAATATCTCAAAGCACACTTACCAAAAATTGATTATTAACCATCATATCACAAAGCACAGAAGGAGGATATGTGTGGGAATATATATACACACACACATACACACACACACACACATATATATATATATATATATATATATTTTTTTTTGTAGAGAATAAAGTTTTTATTCATTCTCCGAGAAAGGAGAGGGGCGTGGTATGGAGAGATACACCAGTCAGAAGGAGCTATTTGATTATCTTAAAAAGGGAGCTAAAACAATTATGAGGTTTCCCCTTATTTCATCTTAAAAACTAACCCAAGGAACAAACATTAAAAAAATTCTAGGGCTATTAATATGTTTAAAAGGCACTTAAAACATTCCTTTCCAATCCAACTCAAAATACATCTCTGTCAACTGGATGAATGTTAAAAAAAAAGCATGTAAGTTTTGTGCAGTTTTTCTTTTAACTCAGTGATATTTACCATCTACAGGGCTGAATGTTTTGAAGGATAGAGCATCAACCTTCTGCAAAACAACCTGAAAGTGCTTTTATCACAGAAACAGGGAAGGCACTAATGATTTGCTCTTTCACTGACAACATCCTGTAGTCTTTTAAGTAAAACATCATCATTTTCTTGACAGAGGCGTTTGGCAGGTGATTCTGCATCACCATCAATGGCTATTGCTCGCTTCTTGGTTCTCTGTTCTCCTTGCCTTATCATGTTGTTGATATCTTTCAAACTCTGTGTAAAAACAGAGGACACATATAAGTAAAAGGGGGAAAGAGGGAGATAGCAGCAAAAAACTAAGCTAACTGCTTTTTCCTGCTCTCTGTTCTTTATCCAAAGAGAAATAATGGCGTACAGATTAGTTTTTTGAATCAAAGCCAACCTAATAAGGATAATTACAACTAATCTTTGCAGAGGGTTTTAAAAATTGAGTTTACCCTACAGCAGTGGTTCTCGAAGTGTGGACACAGAGCAGATGCAGAAGCAGCAGCTAGGAACCAATTAGTAATACAAAATTCTCAAGCCTCACCCTATACCTACTGAATCAAACATTGTGGGGGTAGGGCACAGAAATCTGTTATATCCAGCCCTCCAGGTGGTTCTGATGCTCCCTAAAGGTTGAGATCCTCCTCTTAGACCAATTCTTTTGAAACTATAATGTACCTACTAATCATCTGGGGATCTTACTAAATATGCATATTCAGATTCAGGAGGGCTGGTATGAGGCCTGAGAGTGTGCATTTCTAACATGCTACCACATGATGCTGATGTTGCTGGTCTGTAATTCCACACTCTCAGTGGCAAGGTCTCAGAGAACTGTTTCCTAAAAGCTGTGCATCACAGTTGTGTAGGGAAGCTGACTGCCAGAGCTCTGTGATTCAGTAGATCTATGGGACAGGTATCTGTGTTCACCAAGCTCCTCAGGTCATTCTGACCTATGGTTCTGAAATCACTGTTTTAGAAATCAACTTAGAAGTCATCTTTGATTTCATGCCAGAATCTTCTAAAACATCATTATAGGAAATCAACTTCTGTTAAGAGGAAATGCCATTCTGTGAGGTACTCTACCTCAGTGTGCTTTGTTTGCTAAGTGTAATAGAAGCTCAATAGATGCTTGTGGAACTGAATTAGAAACTCATGAGATAAGAGGCTGCCCTTGTATTTGGACTGAGTTACAATCTATCCCAGTACAACTTCTTCAAGTTGGCAGTGATTCTGGCTTCTGGAGACATACTGAACATATCTGCTTAATAGCCCCTGAAATACAGGAAAACAGCAATCATGTCCCTGTCACATCATCATTGTACAGGAATAACCATGGAACTGTCTATATAAATAAGAGGCCTCTTTTCAGACCTTTTATTATCCTTGTTACCATTCACCAATGAACTTTCTCTTTCAAGGCCTTTCTTTAAACAATGTTCTGCATATCTGACCACTAGCAGATGTTGCCTTACTGGTCCCCTCTCAAGATGATGCCTAAGCAGGGAGGCACACTGGACTCTTGCAGTGAACTTCTCCAATACCAAGTCAATAGTAATGGATGGATTAAACTACTTCAACTGAATACACTGCTCTTGATCACAGGAAACTTGCCATAGTAACAGTTCATTAGTAGTATTTATTAGTAGTAATTATGCAAGCAAAGAGAGAGCAAGATTAGAGATTACTAACTGGTAATCTGAAATCAATTTTTAACACATGTACATAGGTTGTGTAGGAGTAAAGTTTGTGTGCACCTTACCTTAGAAGGGCTGCCATTGAACTTATACAGCAGAGCAGTCCTGGGCGTAAGGCCTGACCCATTCTTGTGTGGGGAAACATAAATGGAGTGCTGCTGGGAAATTCGGCGTGGTGAGCCTGGCTGTTGCTTAATATATGGAAAAGGAGAGAGTGGTGGAGCTTCCATCTGAAATAACCAAAAAGTAAGTTGTTTTAAGATGAAAGTTTTCTTCCTTTTTTGGAATTCCACCATATTTTTATTGATATTGGCATCTCCTAGTTAGAAATCAGTTATATTTTAAGAGCGTATTTATGGCTGAAAAAAACAAACAAATTGTCTATTACCCTTCATTTTTCAATAATTACTAAGAGAGAAACTAAAAATGATTTCCCAGGAACTTTCAGGAAATCCTGAAGAATTCTGGGGAAGATACCAGAAGCAGTAAGCCAGGAATATATGAATCCCAAGTCCATTCTCAGAAAATAGGGGCAAAGAATAATCAGTGTCCTAACACTTGCAATAAGAATCTCTCTCGACACATATACCCACAATCAAAGCAATAGCGAAGAGCAAAAAAGAGGCAGAGAATTCTATGTACCAGCAGGATTAGTCTAACATGGAACAAACCCATTAATGAAATTTTATATTAAATTTATATTAAAGTACAGGAGATTTAGAAATAGAGGTAGGGGAACAGGGTCTGTACTTTTCTATAATATTCAGTACAATGTTTCCATTCCAGGAACAAATAAAGATGGCTCCTTAATTATTATTTCATTTTCATCTTTACTTGAAGCTAATAAAACTAGTTTTAATTGGCTGATGATAGAGATATTCACAGCACAGCATATGATGGGAGCTAGAACTGATGGAGTAGGATGAGCAGACATGTCATGGTCTCTGAGGGTAAACAGTCAGAGACCATATTGCTTGAAAGGAACAAGAGCAGAATGGAGAGACACATACATAACTACTGGCTGGGTGCAGCTTCTACTATGTCCCTCTGTCCCTCTTTCTTTCTCTTTTAAATCCTCACCAGAGAATATGTTTTTATTGATTTTAGAGAGAGAGAGAAAGGGAGGGAGAGAAAAAAAAGGAGGGAAGGAGGGAAAGAGAGGAGAGGGGGAGAGAAAAAAACATGGATGTGAGGAAGAAATATTGATTGGTTGCCTCCTGTATGCGCCCTGACTGGGGACTGAACCTGCAATCTAGGTATGTGCTCTGATCGGGTATCAAACCCGCAAAACTTTTGTTGTATGGGATGCCATTCCAACTAAACCACCTGGCCAGGGTCATCCCTCTTTCTAATAACTAAAGTCTGGTCTATTGGGAATCAACTCAGTTTATATACTGATACGACTATTAGTATTCACAAACCTGCTGGTACTGCCAAATCTAGGATCTGCATAAAAATTTCTTATCACTGCCACTATTTATAATTCAGGTCTATTTCCTTTTCTCTTTATCTTGAGAAAAACATTTGTTTCATAAATATAATTAACAGAAATCAAAAACAAGATAAAAATTACCAGAATTAACTTTTTTTTTTTGTTTTTCGGTGTTCCCATATGTATGCATGATTTATTTTTAGTAACATAATCACACTATGGATAAAATTTCCATGATTTCCTCTGATCTCTGCTGCATCATAGGCTTAATCACTCTCTGATTAATTACTAGTATGTTTTTTCTCCTATATAAGGCATCAATGGGGTTTTAACTCTGAAACACTTATCTAGCAAAATAAACTCACAGTAATCCAACTATGACTATGATATTAATAAAGCAGTAAAATATAAAACATACCATATGGTCCTGATTTGACAAGTCATATTTCAATGCAAATGACTTTACTCTTCCTACATATACTGTATTGTAAAATTTGATAAGATCGCCTCTTTCCTCTCTCACTGGTACACTGGAACAATCAGGTGTTTTTGTAACATCTTCCAAGTCTGTTAAAAGAATTCAGTGTTGTGATAGGTGTACTTTAATATATAAGTTGATGATTTAAATTATAACTCTACAATATAAAGAAAATCAAATAAACACAAACTTTTATGTAAAGCAATCAATGTTTTTAGAAAAGGGCAGAAATCTACAAATATGCATAAATTAAATTGGGATCTTCAGAAATACAAACTGTAAACTTAAGGTGGACCTCTTTTCTATAGATACCACTTCAGCAACCAAACCTTTTGAGATCACTGTCACTGGTGGCCCTTAGAAGAGCACCAGCCCTAACCCTAATTTTTTCTTCCTAGATTTATATTATCTCTGGGTAGGAAGAGACCTGATTAGGCTAAATTCCCTATCTTGATTCAGCCATTGAGAAATGAGACAGACATGTTTCCTACTTCAGCCACTTTCCCATTAAGTTAATTTCCCTACTCTATCATAGAAAAGATAGACTTAAAGCAACCCAACTGCAAGATACATGATTTTCTTTGCCCAATAAACTATTATAATTTCATAATTTTCCCTATTGCTCCCATGAGTAAGAGAAATGTCTTTTTTGGGGATTACCATATAACATTGTCAAGCAATTAAAGTGTGGCTTTATATAAACCATCAGTGAACGAAACAAGCCCTTAGGAGATTCAAGATAATATCTATAGAACTCCAGAGAGACATGCTGAATTTTTTGGCTTGGAACTTTGGCTTTAGAAATTTCCAAAGATCTAATATGAAAGTGGGAAGGGAGAAGGCAAATTATCCTAAGGATGTAGGTAGCCAACAACTACAATCGTAATACACGGTTAGTTTTTTTATCAGGATAATACATTTGCATCCAAGTGAACAGTAGATACCTATTTTTCAGGGAACTTGGTTGCAGAGATTGGGCACATCAAAATTGTCTGGGGTGCATATATTGATCAAAAATCCCTGGTCAATTGGCAGAGGCACTGCTCAATTGACTGATGCTGGTGTCTTTGCACATACTGTCATTAGTTTTTAGATTGAGAAAAGGCCTATCATGTGATTCTTACTACTTAGAAATGGAGAAAGAAACAAAATTATTTTAAGATGAAAGATTAGAATTTATAAATCAAAGGGTCAGGTTGAGAGATGATAGGCTTGCCCAGCACAGCAGCATTTCCCTGGAGAAGGCATTTAGAATTCATTTCATATTTCTCCTACCACATCCTCACTCATTCTTTTTGCTCCTCACAATAACAACGTATAGTAAATATTTCAGAGAGGTTTTCTGATTGAGAGAGTAGCGTTATCTCCAGATATGCAAAAGCTACTAACCACAGACCAATTTAAAACTTCAGTGGTTTTAGATCATTTCAGTGACATTTTGGGCCATTTCTTGTGAGGTCTAAAAGGTATCACTATAATCTATAAACAAGTAAAATGTTCTCTACTAATATCTTAGTTGTCTACCAGGTGTCTGTAAAATGTATCTAAATGGGAAATAAAGCCACCTAATTATCAATTTGCAGTTACCAATTTTATATATCTCATATAAAAACAGAAATTTTGTCTCCAGAGATTTTAACTGTTTATTTTTGTTTTATATGTGTGTGACCTAGTTTTCAACATTTGAAAAGATTTTAAATAAGAAATATGACCTTAGGCCCTGGCTGGTGTGGCTCAGTGGATTGAGAACCAACCTGCAAACCAAAAGGTCGCTGGTTCAATTCCCAGTCAGGGTACATGCCTGGGTTGTGGGCAGGTCCCCAGTTGGGGGCATAGGAAAGGCAATCATCCATTGACATTTCTCTCCCCCTCTTTCTCCCTCCCTTCACCTTTCTCTAAATATAAATAAAATCTTAAAGTATGTGTGTATATATATATATCCTTAGAAAAAGTAGCTTTAAAAAAGACAAAAGCCATATTCATTAATAAAATATAGTAAATTTTATATTGCTTATAAACAAAATAATATATAATAGTCACTACTTACTGGTACAGAGGCCTTACTACGAACAGGCTTTGTGTTAAACACACATACCCATTCTTTTGAATCCTTAAAACAACACTCTGAGGAAGTACTGTAAAGTTTTCAATTTACTATAATACAATTGAGTATTGTTTGTGTTACTTAGATTAAACTATAATCTGGGTCCCTCAAATGTTCCAAATCAAGAATGCCAGTCTGGGGAGGTCTGCTAATATGACAATGAAGAACACATGGTACATGAGTGAATTGCTGTTTTAATTAAGAAGCTCATTTTCCACAGTTGGCTACTTATAAGAGTTTCTGTTAGTCATATGTCAATCAATGGTCAATGCTTTGCTAACTAACATACTCAACATCAGATACAAGTTTTTATTGATGAAAACAGCAACCATTTATTAAGTATGTCTAATGCTAAAAACTGGCTCATGTTGGGGAAACTATAGGTGTTTAATGTAAGCAGAATAATTAAAATATTTGAGACACTATCCACAATACCATGAAAGAGATGACAGATCCCATGATGTCCATGGGGCTTTGCTGTTATGATGACCAGACATGAACTCTGACGCATGCTGTTGGCTTAATCCTGGCTTTAAAGATAACCTAATATTAGCATCTGCCTCGAGTGAACCTTTTATGTGAGGTGGTAGTTGGACAGACAGCTAAGACTTTTAGCTAACTGTATAGAATGCATAAAGTGTGTGTGTGTTGTTATTTTTATAAAGCAGCCATATATTTTTCTTTTATAATTAAAAAAAAGATTTTATTTATTTATTTTAGACAGAGGGGAAGGGGAGAGGAGAAAGATAGGTTGCGAAACATCAATATGTGCCCTTGCGTACCCTATACTGGGGACCTGACCTGGCCTGCAACTCAGGCATGTGTCCTTACCCAGAATTGAACCAGTGACCCTTTGGTTTGCAGGCCGGTGCTCAATCCACTGAGCCACACTGGCCAGAGCAAAATGTATGTTTTTAAAACAATAATCATTTTATACCTAATGATGAATTTGTTTATATAACAAGAACTGGGTTTTTCAAGGTCGTGTTCTTTGGTGTGTCCAACTCTAGGTCATTGCATTTAGCCATAGCTCCAGGGACTGACACGTCTTTTCTGAACATAGACTTGCCTTTTGGTATCTTCCTCTGTAACTTTCTCATGTTTTTGGTGTCAAAATTCTTGAGACAATTATCACTGGATACTCTCCTTGCTCTGTGCCATCACCACTAGATAGGATCTTAAGAATGGTTTTTGTTTTTTTTTTGGTTGCCTGCTAATAAATATCTAAATAAATATATATTTAACAAAGAGCAAGCTAACCCTCATTCTCCTCAAACTTCACTGGCAGACACTGCATCAAAAAGAAACTATGATATATTTCTTTTTGCTTACTTATAGTGTCATGAACTTCATTGGTCCTTGTATCTCGGTTAGCGGCTGACAGTTGCCGTATTTTGCTGCGTGTAACGCACTTCCATGTATAATAAGCACTCATGCTTTTGACCCAAACTTTCCGGAAAAGAAATTCTTTGTTTTAATTTTTTAATTCAATTATTTATTTATTTATATTTAAAAACAAAACTGATTATTGCATTCCAGGGTATTATTTTGCATACAGATATCGTTACTGCTTTTTAGAGTTATACTTTTAATGCATAAGCATAAATAAAAGAATTAAAAACATTTACATAGAGAAGGAATTAATACTACCTGTACATAATGCACCTCATTTCCCTCAAAAATTTGGGGAAAAAAGTGTGCATTATTCATGGCAAAAGGTACTTTGTTTCTCATCCAGTACAGTTTCCCATCTAACCTCTTATGTGCCTGGTTTTGAAAGGACAGTAAAACTACCTAGGACTGATGAGCCACATGTGTAACAAAAATATAGTTGGTTTTTTTTTTGGTCAGGCTTACTGTCTTATATACTTCTCATTGTCTTGAAAAGGCTCAGGAATACTATATATATGTAAAAAGAATTGAGAATGACCTATGTATCCTTAAATGGGATCAGATTCTAGGCCATTATTAAAGGATTCTGATATGGTCTTAAAAGTTCAGATCCTAGTAGACACCAAAATGATCACGGATATTTGTATAACTTTTAAAAATGCCTTTGGTCCAGAGAGTTTCTCTAAGAATTTATCCTAGGGATGTAGACCAAAGAGTAATTTACAATGATTTCCTCACAAAGCTGTATAAAATTGGAAACAATCTAAATGTCCCACACTGTATAAAGAAATCACAGTATAGAGGGTCTGGCACGTAGCATGATCCTTTTTTATTACAATCTCTTTCATTACAAAATCATAAGCATGTGATTCTATAACATAAGAACATCACACTCAGGCACACCATATGACATTTTAGGTGAAATGTTCAAATTAAAATGGTAAATAATTACATTCATATTATTATCCTACTATCCATACTCAAGCAGGCGTTACTTTTGCTGGACCCTGTATATAACACACAGGCATAGATACAGGGTGGGGCAAAGGAAGGTTTACAGTAATACACATTAAGTAACGAAAAAATGAGACAAGGTTAAGGAGATGGGCGGAAGAGGCATTTTCACAATTTATCAACATACAAATACAGAACATATAATTTTCCTTTGAAAAAAATTACTAGTGCCCCAAGTCTTAGCATGACAGTAACAACAAGGTGGCAGTCTTGCCAGTGGTGGCAGGATATGTATATACTTTTTAATAAAAAGGATATTTCCTTAATTGTATCCCCAGGCAGATCACTGAGAGCTATCTTACTTTCCCTGTTACTCAGATTTATAGTCGTCCTCCATTACCCACAGGGGATATGTTCCAAGATGCCCAGTGAATAGCTGAAAAGTGGACAGTACTGAACCGTATACATACTGATTTGTCCTACATGTAAATACCTAGGATAAAGTTTAACTTATAAATTAGGCACAGTAAAAGATAAACAACAATAACTAATAATAAAATAGAATACATAACTATAAACAAATACACAGTAATAAAATTTATGTGAATATTGTCTCTCTCTCAAAATATCTGAAATTTTCCACTGACTGCAGGTAACTGAAATGAAGGAACACAAAACTGGATAAGGGAGGTCTACTGAATTTTAAAAATTTGACTGCCTTTTATTTGGTTTATTAATGCAGATAAATGGACTAGAAAACTTCTTCTAAAACACAATTAATGGGACAAATGAATAGTTTCAATACATGACCTCTTTGGAGGAGGCACCTGACCCATACTTATCACATATTTATTTATTTCTTCCCCAAATGCCTACATCACTGACTCTATGTTACCTGACATCCACTGTATTATGTACAATGTAATCAAAGGTGTATTACATATAGAATGTTAAACTGAGCAACTTACCACGATCTGTCATTTCAAAATCACCATTTATTATTTTATTGTAAACCACAACTTCTTTTGGAATACTTTTCAACAGTACACTTCTATAGACCTATAGGACAGAGGGGAAGAAAAGGACTGCTGAGTCACAAAGAGGCACAATTTAAGCAAAACCAAAATAAGAACAACAAAATATCAAGCCAATTAAAAAGTATCTGTATGGGTGATATCAAGGGCAAGATGTTATTAGTCTGGTAAATATAGATTATGGCAAACATCTTAGAAGAGGAAATACTAAAGCGGATTCTAAGCTTATACCTAAAATATGCCATTGCAGGAATTTACAATGTAAATAGAAGACTTTTAAGTACATAAATAGCAACTAAATACTGATGAACAGGTTTTGCCAAATAAAAGTAACTTCAGCCCTGACGGGTGTGGCTCATGGTGCTCAAAAGGGTTGCTGGCCTATGGTGCTCAAAAGGGTTGCTGGTTTGATTCCCAGCCAGGGCACATGCGTGGGTTGCAGGCTAGGTCCCCAATAGGGGGCATGTGAGAGGCAACCACACATTGATGTTTCTCTCCCTTTCTTTCTCCCTCCCTTCACCTCTCTAAAATAAATAAATACAACCTTAAAAAAAAACCCAAAACCCCAACAAACTTCAAAGATCTGAACTTGTTCCTTCTCTCTTTTAACTCCTTACCCAAGAATCATTTGCTCTCACTGAAGCTTGTATTCCTGTTCCCATTCCACTCTCAACTCCTTTCAAATGGCCACATGAAAATTTCTTCCTCTCTTCCACCTAAACTCTTTCCTGCCTCCAAGATAGCTAACAGGCGTGATCCGTTCCCCCTCATCTTATGGGTATTAGTATTTAGAAGATATTTAGGAAGCTCAGGCTTGGCCCATTTTAACACACAGTAACCTACTTTACCTTAAGGATCTTTAAGGATAAGATGGACCTCTGTAGACTCTGTTCCTGAGGGGTTTTTCTGAAGAGGTCCAGAAACTCTTAGCCTGTCACAGTATGTAACAAACATTGTACTTGGCTCTTCTAATATCTAAATCACTATCAGGGTATTTAGGGGCTTAAGTAAAGAAGTAAGACTGTAACCATAGGTAGTTAGCTAATTATTAATAAGAAAGGGACTTAGACATTGAGCTTAATAAACTGGGGAGCCTGTATGCTTTACCAGGAAGCTACAGCTTTTCTCACTCCAGGGACCAGAGCATTGTGCTCCGAGGCTTAACATCCCTCCCCTCCCCCATCAGGTACCAGATAGTGGGGGGTGAAGGGGACCAAGGGGGAGGTGCTTGACCATTGAGGCCTGTCAGTCTAGCCTGGGGAACAATGGATTGGCTGGGGGGTGAACTCATTAGAAACCTGCAAAAGCTTGGAAAGTTCAGTTATTTTAAAAATCCGCACTTACCCAGTTCACTCGTGTACTATTTCTCACTGAGAGCACGTGACTGTGTGTGTCTAGCAGATACTGGGCCTGTGGCACACTGTGTAGGCTCCAAAAGACTAAGCTCTAATATGAAGCAGAAAATCTGGATACTGGCTTTTGTTTTAGCCTAGCTGAGGACATGGTTGGACTTTTTTTTGTGGAAGGACAGGTGGAGGTAGGACAGAGGGGACACAGGGGGAACTTTCCACATGAATAAACCTCGCCACACCACAATCTCCTATGCATGGGTCCTTGGAATGCTTTCTTTGCGATCCCCATGGAAGAGCTTGATTTCCACAGACAACAAAACTATTGATGGGGCTCTCTTAGAAGAGGCTATCACTCCAGGCTAGGATACTGAGTCACTATCTTTCTTCCTAAGATGGCGGATCACGGGGGCCAGAGAAGAGGCCATGGTGCTCCCTTAGAGCAGAGCAACCAAGATCTTGACTGGCCAAAGACTTAAGGTAAACTAACTCTTGTTCTCAGCTACAATAATAATAACAGTATGGATCTAACAGTTATTAATGCTAACTATGTGCCAGGCCACTGCGCTAACATTTTATATTTTCATGACTGAAAAACTGTAAAGGATTCTCATGACAGCTATTATAACAACATTATCAGAAATGCCTGACATCTACTCAAAGATACAAACATTAAGAGTTTTAGCAGATGGCAAAAGAAACTGAATTTAAGTTAATAAATCCTCAATTTTCACTGGATTTAAATATCATCAGAGTCAAATCTCATACAATTAAAGAATATTATTATAATATAGATTTTTCATTAAATTTTCTAGGGAAAATGTTCCCACTCAACAGATGAACAAATGGAATAGGAGACTATATAAAAAAGTATATGCAAATATATGCATGAGTTAGGAACAGCCAATAGCCTGGCCTCTACTGAAACTGTCTCTTGAATTTAATGATATCTATTAAATCAAAAAATCTAAAATACAGCAGGACTATAAAAGAAATTTACCTTTTACATGACTTATGAGAGAAATACAATTCTAATTTTAGACATGAAGAAAAATAATGTAACTCACATGACTATTAGCTTGGGGCTGATTCCTATAACTTTTCATTATTTCTTGAAAAGTTCTTTCTTCTTTTGTTACCTAAGGAAAAGAAAAACTGCATTTATCAATTGCTCCTAAAAGGAAAATGGCTCTGAACAAAAACATCAATTATAGGCTGCCACTGAGAGCAGTCTTGCAGAAAGCCATTAACTTTAGCCCAGTCCATGACTAAAAACCACTACCATATAGGATTTGTACTACCTTCAAAGTTCAGGCTTTGTGGCCTGTGGGGACCTAGCTAATAGTTCCATTATTCAAAAGCACCAAGATAGCTATGGCACAGCTTTACTGAAAATGCCTTTCTTTATAAAAAGAATGCTCTAAGAAAATCAAGGGTGGGGGGGGAGGGGATAGAAGAGGGCTAAATGGTAATGGAAAAAACTAAAAAATTTTTTAAATAAAAGAAAACTCAAATGCACTGAATCCTGTACAGTCTCCTATTTAATTACAGTTCAATTATTTATTTAAAAGTGAATTAACTACATATTAAATTATGGAAAATGTCTTGTGGTGATTCACAATAAAAATGAGTGGTTATGACAGGATTAGACTTTTAACATGTCAGGACAGACTATATGGTTTCTAATGCTTTAACAGAAAAGTCACAGTGATGGCTAAAAGGAAGAAAATAAATTAGTGATCCATAAAGGAATACTTTCTGGTCTATTTGTTATCAATGAAGTTCACTTAAATTATTCTTTTCCTCTGCTTCACAGTACATTAGCATTTAACCTGTTATCCATAATGTTGAGCTAGAAAATGGCAAAGCCTGAGCTCTGCAGTTCTTTGGAAAACACAAATGATTAGTTAATAACATTTATTAATACCTACTTGTATTGAGTTGTTTTTTTTGTTTGTTTTTCAAATTGCAGTTAAAGTTTATTTAGAAAGTGACAGAGGCAGGAAGAGTGAGCCAGTTGGATGTGGGCTCAGGAAACAAGTTACAGAGGCAAAAGAAGGGTCCTTGAAGCTTAGGAGAAAGAAATCAAAGTACACTCGAAAAGAAGATTTGAGGAAGTGAGAGTACCTCTACAGAGATTTTAAAGAGGCATTGCAAGACAAGTATCACAAAAGAATTTGAAAACATGTTTTTTTGCCTCAAAGAGCTTAAAAATTAGGACTTAACTATGTGTGTCTTCTAGGACTGCCAGTGTGGCCAATATAGTCAAGACCAAAGTTACAGATGATTGTTCCAGATACAGCAGAAATTTCTGGCCAAGATGGAAGTGTAGGTAGATATACTTTGCCTCCTTGCACAACCAGAACAAGGGCAACAACAAATTTAAAAACAAAAAACAACCAGAACTGCCAGAAAATCAAATTGTATGGAAGTCTGGCAACCAAGAAGTTAAAGAAGAAACATTTATCCAGACTGGTAGGAGGGGCAGAGATGGGCAGTGGGGGTGGAGAGGATGTGTGGCAAGGCTGGGGGACTGGGTGAGGTGGCAGCTGGAGCGGTCCCACGTTTGTGTATCTATAAACTGGGAGGAACAGCTGGGGTGTGAGACAGACCACACAACCCAGGGTTCTAGAGCAGGAAAAGAAAGCCTCAAAACCTCTGGCTGTAAAAGCCTGTGGGGGCTGTGGTGGTGGGAGAAACTCCCAGCCTCACAGGGTAGTTTGTTGGTGAGACCCATGGGGTCCGAGAACGTACACAAACCCGTCACACAGGAGTAAGCACCAGAAAGGCCCACTTTGCTTGCAGGTAGCGGGGGAATGGACTGAAAGCCAGCCAAGAGCCAAGCAAGGAGAACTGTTCCTCGGACTCCTTCCTTATATACAGCGCCACAACGCAGTAATGTGAGTTTCTCCACCCTGGTGAGTATCTAAGGCTCTGCCACTTACAACATAATAGGAGTGCTGAGACAAAGGTAGATGGCCCAAATGAAAGAACAGATCAAAACTCCAGAAAAAATACAACTGAGTGATGAAGACATAGATAATTTATCAGGTGCACAGTTCAAAACACTGGTAACCTGAATGTCACTGACTTAGCTGAGTATGGTTGTAAAATGGAGGAAAAAGTGAAGGCTATGCAAAGCGAAATAAAGAAAAACATATAGGGAATCAACAGTGAAGGGAAGGAAACTGGGACTCAAATCAATGATTTGTAGCACAAGGAAGAGATAAATGTTCAACCAAAACACAATGAAGAAACAAGTATTCAAAAAAAAAATGAGGAGAGGAATTCCAAAAAAAATTAGGAAACTCTGGGACAATTTTACACGTTCCAACAGCTGAATCATAGGGGTGCCAGAAGGAGAAGAGGAAGAGCAAGAAACTGAAAACTTATTTGAAAAGATAATGAAGGAGAACTTCTCCAATCTGGTGAAGGAAATAGACTTCTAGGAAGTCCAGGAAGCTCAGAGAGTCCCAAAGAAGTTGGATCCAAGGAAGCATACACCAAGACACATAATTACATTATCCAAGATTAAAGACAAGGAGAGAATCTTAAAAGCAGCAAGAGAAGTAGAGAGTTACCTCCAAAGGAGTTCCCAGAAGACTACCAGCTGATTTCTCAAAGGAAACCTTGCAAACAAGAAGGGGCTGGCAAGACGTATTCAAAGTCATGAAAAGAAAGGACCTACAACCATGATTACTTTATCCAGCAAAGCTACGATTTAAAATGGAAGGGCAGATAAAGGGCTTCCCAGACAAGGTAAAGTTAAAGGAGTTCATCATCACCAAGCCCTTATTATATGAAATATTAAAGAAACTTACCTAAGAAAAAGAAGAGGATCAAAACTATGAATAGTAAAATAACAGCAAACTCATAACTATCAACAAATGAACCTAAAAAAGAAAACACAACCCCAAAACAAAAACAAACTAAGGAAATAACTAGAACAGAAACAGAATCACAGAAATGGAGGTCATATGGAGGGCTATCAGCGCGGGGGCGGGGAGGAGAATGGGGGAAGAGGTAAAGGGAATAAGCAGCATAAATGGTAGGTACAAAACAGAGGGAGTACAGGAAATGGAGAAGCCAAAGAACTTACATGTATGACCCATGGACATGAACTAAGGGGGGCGGGGAGTGCTGATGGTTGGGGGGAGGGGTGCTGGGTGGAGGGGAATAAAGGGGAGAAAGAAATGGGACAACTGTAATAGCATAATCCATAAAATATACTTAAAAAATAAAATAAAAAACAAGATATGCTATTTTATAACCTAAAACATGGTGTAGCAACTAGAGAATAAAATGTTATTCAGAGATGGCACAGTAAGTCACTGGAAAGAAATATGTTATAGAAACTATTTTATACTAGATTACTAATCAGGAGATCCAAGTTGCCACTTATTGTGTAACATTGTCCAAGGTAACTTTCAGCTCTAGGCCTCAGTTATTCACCTACTGTAAGGATCATGTTACTTTAAAGTACCAGATTAGAGGTACCACAGGGGTAGGGGTGGAAATGGTGTTGTCACATTAATAGTGGGAGGAGCTAGTTTACTACAAATGGTCTCTAAGACCTTTTCCAACTTTTTTACAGCCAATGTATACATATGAAGTTGGAAAGCTGATTATTATAAAACTAGAGAATCCAGAGAATAGGCATAGAGCTGGAATTTACTACTTCACCAACGATGATGAGCACTGTTAGCTTAAAGCACTTAAAGCAAACTAAGGATCAAGTGCAACAGATTTTTACTGAATGCTTCAAATATAGGCAACTAATGCAAAGAACTTCCCCCAGCTTATACATTACCTTTGCCATGATGTAAAAGGCACAAAGAAGGAGCTGATCCAAATGTCTATCTTTCATTAGGTCAGGGCAGTGAACTAAAGTGAATTCAAAACACGTCCATATCTTCCTTCGTAACTCATTTGAAACATCCAGTTTTAAACATAAATCACGTAAGCGTACACTTGCCAAATGATAGACCTAAGATGGAAGGTAGCACAAAAAAAGATTGATGCAAAAAAAAAAAAAAAAAAAAAGGAAAAGTAAAAATAATTTCTTAAACTTACATCTTACCATCAACATGGGCTTTCAGGTCAAGATTAACAAGCACCTAGACAGCTGATACCTTAAATTACATAAAATTTCAATTCTATAGCACTAGTTCACTGCTAAGGAAATAGATTAAAACAAAATTCTCTTTAAAAAAACTACCTTAAAAATTATTTTTGAAAAGATAAAGGTCTCCTGCTACTTTATGCTGCCATCTATGTAAAGTAAGAAACACTAAAATGTAGAATTTACCTGCATTACAACCATTATGAATATGTTATTTTTCAAGTGTTCAAACGTATCTTTTTTGGGTGGGGGAGGGAGGTTCAGCTAACATTGCTAGAAAACCTAAAATGTCAGAAAATAAATAACTAAAATGAATGCATGACTCAAAATGAGTCAGAAATCAAAACCATTTAAAGAATTTCCCATATAGTCTACATTGTTTTTATGAACATATGAAAGGGATGTTAAATGAAATACGTGGATTTTTTTTTAAGTGTGTCAGTGTAAATTCAGTGCAATGCCCTGAGACTTTTATATATATACTAGTCTATGAATTGATACTATTCATAGTAACTAATTCCTTCATACTAAGGAAATAGTTACTTCCTTAGTTTGTTTTTGTTTTGGGGTTGTATCTAGTAGTCGTATGAATTGATACTAATGGAAATGACCCAAAGGTCCTGCAAGATTCTAAAATGGCTTCTAATCATCTCAGAAGCATATGTTTTACTGTTTTAAGAAATGGTAACCTTGCTGTGGTAATCCTAAACCACACTATTCCGTTCAAACTAAGTCTTAAAATTTAAATGTTCAGGGAAAAAACTGAAAAAGAGTAAGGCATCACTTACAGAAAAGTATCTCTGGCAGGGAAAAAAAATCCACAAATTAGAGTTATCCAATACATGACTCTGATAGAGAGTGAGAGAGACAAGGGGTTGACTCCAAACTACCCGTGATTAATTTTATAGCAAATCATTTTCTTCATCCCATCCCTTTGTTTCTGGAACTACCGGGGCCAGAGCAGTGAGAAAGATGCCAGAACTTTACATTCATGAAAGAGGTAACAGATACAGCCTTAGATATGATTAAATATAATATGTAATTAAATAATAATTATTAGGTGTCTTTTACAGAGCTGATCCAATGCCTTAAAGATACATATTTTTTAAAAAGATTTTATTTATTTACTTTTAGAGATTGGGGGAGGGAAGGAGAAAGAGAGGGAGAGAAACATCAATGTGTGGTTGCCTCTCGTGCACCCCCTACTGGGGACCTGGCCCACAACCCAGGCATGTGCCCTGACTGGGAATCGAACCAGTGACACTTTCATTCACAGGCTGGCACTCAATCCACTGAGCTAATCCAGCCAGGGCTAAAGATACACATTTTTAAAAAAATACATTTTATTGATTATGTTATTATAGTAGTCCCACTTATTCCTTTTTTACTCCTTTCCACCCGGTACCTCCCAATTCCTGCTTGCAATCCCTCCCCTTAGTTCAAGTTCATGTATATAGGTTCTTTAGCTACTCCATTTCCTATAGTGTTCTTAACATCCTCCTGCCTATTCTGTACCTACCAATTTGTATTTCTTAATCCCTGCACCTTTTTCCCCATTCACCACCATCCCCTTCCAAAATGATAATCCTCCAAATGATCTGCATATCTATGGTTCTGTTTCTGTTCTGCTGTTTGCTTAGTTTCCTTTTTGGATTCAATTGTTGATAGCTTACATTTATTGCCATTTTAATGTTAACAATGTTTATCTTCTTTTTCTTAAAGAAGTCCCGTCAACATTTCATGTAACAATGGCTTGGTGATGATGAACTCCTTTAGCTTCACCTTGTCTGGGAAGCACTTTATCTGCCATTCAATTCTAAATGACAGCTTTGCTGGTTACAGTAATCTAGGTTGTAGGTACTTGCTTTTCATGATTTTGAATACTTCTTGCTAGTCCCTTCTCAGTTGCAAGGTATCTTTTGAGAAATCAGCTGGTAGTCTTCTGGGAGCTCCTTTGTAGGTAACTCTCTCCTTTTCTCTTGCTGCTTTTAAGATTCTCTATCTTGAACCTTTGGCATTTTAATTATGATGTGTCTTGGTGTGGTGCTCTTTGTGTCCCTCTTGTTTGGGACTGTGCTTCCTGGATTTGTATGTCTGCTTCCTTCATCAAATTAGGGATGTTTTCTTTCATTATTTTTTCAAATAAGCTTTCAATTTCTTGCTCTTTCTCTTCTCCTTCCGGTACCTCTATGATTCAAGTGTTGGTATGTTTGAAGTTGTCCCAGAAGATCCTTACCATATCCTTGTTTATTTTGGATTCTTTTTCCTTCTTGCTGCTCTGATTGAATGTTTTTTTCTTCCTATCACTAATTTGATTCTTGCCTTCATCCACTCTATTGTTGGTTCCCTGTAAATTTTTCTTGATTTAACTTAGTGTAACCTTCATTCTTGCTTGGGTCTTTTTTTATGCCGTTGAAGTACCCAATGAGTTTCTTGAGCACTTTAATAACCAGTGCTTTGAACTCTGCATCTGATAGGCTGCTTATCTCTATTTTGTATAGTTCTTTTTCTGAAGTTTTGTTCTGTTCTTTCACTTGGGCCATGTTTCTTTGTCTCATTTTGGCAGCCCCCCTGTGTTTGTTTCTATATATTAGGCAGAGCTCTTAACTCCATGTCTTAGTAGTTCAGCCTACTGTAGAAAAGCACACCAGTAAGTTGGACGGGAGGGAGCCTTAGGTAATCTCCAGGGTGGAAGAACCCATGTGAATCAGGTTGATGGAATCTCTGATATGGTGACACCATTCTGTGGCTCTGTGTGTGGGAGGGCTCAGAAAGGGGACAATGCTGCTGCCTGGCCTCTAGAGTTGGGGGTGGGGATCTGTATCCCAGCACTCGCCCTGATGCCAAACACTTCAGTTTCTCCCCATATGCCACTGGTGCCCTTCAGGCTGCTGCCCTGGTGCTGGAGACAAGAAGAAGTCTGCATAAGTCCTAAGTCCATTATGGGCCCTTTAATAGGAGATGCCTGAGAATCCTGCATTTTCTTCCATTGCCTCAACCCCCACTTGTTTTATGGGGACTTATCTTCCTCGCACTGGAAACCTGGGGTAGGTAGTCTGGTGTGGGGCTGGGTTCCCTTGCTCCTGAAGTTTCCCTCCTGATTTTTACCCACCACATGCGGGTGTGGGACCACCTGTTCCATGTCTCTGTGCATCTCTGCCCCTCCTACCTGTCTGGACGAATGACTTCTGTAATTCCTTGGTTGTTGGACTTCCATATAGCTCAATTTTCTGGTGATTCTGGGTGACACTTGTAGTTTACTTGTAACTTTTGCTGTGGCTGTATGAGGAGGGTATTGTGTTTACCTACGCCTGCATCTTGACCAGCAGTCCCCAAGATGCACATATTCTGAAAGGCTTCTTCTAACAAAAAATTCACAGTAGCCCTGGCCAGGTGGCTCAGTTGGTTGGAGCGCCATCCAAGCACCAAAAGGTTGAGAGGTTGATTACCCAGTCAGGGCACATACCTAGGTTGCAGTACGATCCCTGGTCAGGGTGCGTACGGGAGGCAACCGATCACTGTTTCTCTCTCACATCAATGTTTCTCTCTCTCTTCTGTCCTCTTTCTCTAAAAGCAATAAACGTATCCTTGGGTGAGGATTTAAAAAAAAGGTTAAAATCGTATGTTTGATGTTATATATATTTTACCAAACATTCAAAAAAGAAAACTAAAGCTGCTGTTACTCAATCTTTTTTGCAGTGATTAAATGAGATCTTTTTAGATGCTATAAAATCACATACCTTTCTATAAAACAGTGCTAAGGACCCAGTTCTCTTTGGCCTGCTCATTCCAGTTGGATGTACCTCTTGTGCTTTAATCAGATGAGTTTGTTTTGGAGAAGCACCAATCAATGACTGAGCAGTAAGTGATACCGGACTCTCGACTCTGGACTCCTGAGTTGTGTTCATGGAAATTGGTATCAGCGTGATCTCCCCAGCATCATTTGCAATACCTAAATGTACAAGCAAGAGTTCTATTTTAGCAAGAAGCTGTATGTGCTCCAGAAAAGTAGTCAATTATATTTATCCATCTAAGTGTATAAACATAGGAATATGTTAGTAAAGGAGAGGAAAGCCACAAAAATAGTAATTCTAAGTTATAATATTATTTCCTATGCTCTGTTTTGTTTTGAGCACTTAAGGAAACTTTTTAATCAAAAAACAACACTCTTGATCAATATACTCATTTGTAAAGCACAGATAAGAGAATAAGTCCTAACAAGAAGGGTACTATATTTATAAAATGTGAAAATTCAAGAAAAAGTACAGGTTTGAAACGAAAGGGTGTAATACAGGATTTTTAAGTCGGTGAAACTATTCTGTGTAATATTATAATGGTTGATAGGTGTCATTAGACATTTGTGAAAACCCATAGAATACAATATCAAGAGTGAACACTGATGTAAACTTTGGACTAGCGGTGATAATAATGTGTCAGTGTAGGTTCATCAGTTGTAACAAATGTACCCTTGATGGTGAGGGAGGCTGTGTGTGTTCGGAGGCAAAGAATATATGGGAAATCTCTGTACCTTCCACTCAATTTTGCCATAAACCAAAACTACTCTAAAAAATAAAAATAGTTTTTAGGTTCAGGAAAAAATCCTGGATTAGCAAGGTCATGTGATCCAATCCAGTACGATATTTCTTAAATTTTATTGAATTCAGAAAAAATATAAAATAAATGCATTAAAATGTTACCATGCAATGGGATTGTAACTTTATGTCCTGTTGTCCCCGTTACTATGGCTGTGGTCATTGTTAAAAGACTTTGCCCAGGTGAAATTGATATGTTTTCTGCTGTAATGCTTGAAGAAGGAGCAATTTTCAATTTTTTTCCTTCTGTTATAATCCTGTCCAAAAGCACTTCTTTTGTGGGCTCCTCCCCAAAAAGTCTTCTCTTAGCACTCCCTGCGGTGGGAGAACTGTAGCGTTCATGAACAGAAATTGGAGACAATGGTTGCATATCTAATGAAGAGAAAAATAAATTTGAAACAGTTTGATATGTATTCCAAAATAATGAACCAGGTTTACTCATTCATTCAACAAAAAGAAATTGAGTTACCATTCTAGGCAATAGAAATCCAACAGTGACTAACATAGCTTCTGTCTCATAACAAGTCTAATGGGAGAAAAAACCCTGCAGTTAAGTCCTTACAATAAAATGTGAAAATGATAGCTTAACTTCCTGGTTTCTTGAACTTCTGCCTACACTAAAGGAGCAAAATGTTAAGGGTAAAGTAGAAGCTTTATCCCCCCAGAGCCAAGGTTTGATATTATTGTTTTCTAAAAATGTTCCACTGTTTGATTCTCTTGCCTGAACCCTTACAAGAAAATAACTTTTTCCTTTAAGTATAAAAATAATATATGCCCTGAATGTTTATAGCAGCATTATTCATAACAGCCAACCAGTGGAAATAATTGAAATGTCCATCAACTAATGAATAAACAAACAATATCCATTCAATAAAACATTATTCATCCATAAAGGTTAATGAAGTGGTGGTACATGCTGCAACATAGGTATATCTTGAAAACATGCTAAATGAAAAGCCAATTACAAAGTCCACATATTACACAATTCCATGTATATGAAATATCCTGAATAGACAAATTCATAGATACAAAAATTAGATTAGTATTTCCAGGCGTTTAGGGGAGGAAGAATTGAAGAGTGACTGATATGAAATATGGGGTTTCTTTATGGAGTGATGAAAACATTCTGGAATTAGATAATGGTAATTGTTATATAGTCCAGTGAGTATTCTAAAAACCACTAAATTGTATACTCTTAAAGGATTAACTTTATGGTATGTGAATTATACTTCAATAAAAAAAATTAACTGAAAAAATTCAAACAATACTAAAAACTATAATGGAGGAAATAACACTCAAAATCCCACTGCCTGGAATGAATCACATTTTGGTGACTATTTTTCATGATCTTAGCTCTCAGATCTTTAGCTAGATGGCAAGTAACATACACACACACACACACACACACACACACACACAATATACATATAAATTATAGTCAAAGATACATACTCGCAATTCATGCTTTGTACAGTTCCAATATGCAGAAATTTCAGTGATTACAGTTTAAATTAACAATAGCCCTAGCAAAACAGTTCAAATTTCAGTTGCCATGGTATATTAACTATAAATTGCATAAATTACAACTTCAGTCCATAAATCATTATATACATAATAGCTATACAACATGATCAGTGACCAATCATGTCACTTCTTTCAAAGTCTGTTGGTGATTGGTCAGGGCACATCTGTTATTCATTTCATGCATACAGCAAAGCATACAGTTAGGTTGCCACCTTGTCTCCCAGTGATAAACCCACACAACATTTTACAAAACAGACAAATGAAAGAGGGAATCATCCAAAAAAAAAAAAAAAAAAAGATTAAGAGCAACAAAGAAATAAAACGTGATAATGCTGAAAGTGAAATTAAAATAGAGTGCCAATGAAGTTATAAAAGAAAAGCAGAACCTGGGAGTTTTTGTTGACATGCCACTGTTCAAGAGATTGCATATGTAAATAAAATTACTCTGTAAAGATCAAATTTATTGATATAAAAGGAAAGCCATGCCCTGGCTGATATGGCTCAATGGATTGAGTGCTGTTCTGAGAACCAAAGGATCACCAGTTCAATTCCCAGTCAGGGCAAAGGCCTGGGTTGTGGGCAAGGTCCCCAGTTGAGAGGGTGCGAAAGGCAACCACACATTCATGTTTCTGTCCCTCTCTTTCTCCCTCCCTCCCCGCTTTCTAAAAAGAAATAAATAAAATCTTTAAAAATAGATTATATTCAAAATCAAACTGGACATCTTATTACTTTAACATAAAAAAGCATAAAACAAGCCATACTATGATGCTGATGTAAGCATTAAGCCCCCTTCAAATTCTGATGAAGAAATTAATAGTATATTAATAAGACTTGAACCCTAGCCACGTGGCTTGGTTTGTTGGAGCATCATTCCATACACCAAAAGGTTGTGGGTTTGATTCTTGGTAGGGCATATACCTAGGTTGCCAGTTCAATCTCCAGTTGAGGTGCGTATGGGAGGCAACAGATCAATGCTTCTCTCTCACATTAATGTTTCTATCTCTCTCTCCCCTTACTTCCCTCTAAAATCAAACATATCCTTGAATGAGGATTAAAAAAAAGAAAAAAAAGACTTGAAATTTTCTCTGAAAAATTACCCTTGTTATTTTTCATTGTTTTGCCAACGTTGAACCTACCCTTTCGAAGACTTCCACTGTCTGTCCGAACTTCTTTTACCCTCGGATGCATTAACGGAGACATTGGCATCATGGGAAGATGTCCCTGTATATTTCCCCCATTTCCTGTTTCAAAGTTATTTGGAAATATAACCTGTTAAAAACAAAAGCCCTTTGCTTTACATACAGATAAACCTACTGATGAAAACTTGTAACCGAAAAAAAAAAAAAGACTTCTTAATTTCTTTTACTATGTAATATCCCTTTCCTTTTTTCTTCACAAAACATAGCAACTTATATAAAGTGCTCGAGAGTTAATGTTGTCAAATATATGTAAAGAGTTCATCTCACTTAATCTTATAATGTATCTATTTATCAACAATTAGAAGTAAACCTATGAGGCAGGCACTATCATTCTCCACCTAGAGATGAGAAAATTGAGGCTCAAAATGTGGAAGTAGCCCAAAACTACACTATTACTAAGTAATAGAGGAAGAGCCTCAACTTAAAACATTTTCCTTAAATTTCATAGCTTTTTAATCACTTTCCCAATGGATTTTATAATGAAAATATTGATGAATACTAAAGATTGCCCCATTAATCACAGTGCTACAAAAGATGAAAGACTCATGGAAGAGAGATTTTTTAAGAAACCATTTTCTTTTAAGTTCTTCCTTAGAAGCGGCTAGTTCTTCCTGGCCTTGGGGAGTTCCTTCAGTAGTTTGGGATTAAGGAGAAGTTTAAGTTTAAAGTATAAGGAGACCAAAAAGCAAAGAGGAATGAAAAGAATAACAGAGGTGAAAGGAAAAAATCAATTTCTGGCTTTTGGCCAAGACAGAGGCGTAGATAGATACACTTTGCTTCCTCGCACAACCAAAAGAAGGATAACAACCTATTTAAAAACAAAAAACGAGAACTGCCAGAAAATGGAACTGTACTCTACTTTACTCTATCCAGCAAAACTACCATTTAAAATGGAAGGGCATATAAGTGGAACCTAACCAACAATACGAAGATGCAAGGAAAATAAGACCAGCAACACTGAAAGGAAAAGAAACCAACAGAGACAAGAGGGAAGGAGGGAGGAAGGGTGGGGGAAAAGGAAGGGAAGGGGAAAGTCAAGGAACATAGAGCAAGGACTCATAGACAGAACCAAAGGGGAAGAGTCGAGGGAGGGAGGGAGGGGTAAGGGAAAGTGGTGGGGGGGTAGACAGAGACAAATGTATTTGAAAAAATAAATAAATTGATTTAAAAAAAATTAAAAAAATAAAATGGAAGGGCAGATAAAGCGCTTCCCAGATAAGGTAAAGTTAAAGGAGTTCATCACCACCAAGTCCTTATTATATGAAATGTTAAAGGGCTTATCTAAGAATAAGAAGAGGATCAAAACTATGAACAGTAAAATGACGACAAACTCACAACTGTACTAAGAAAAAACAACTAGAACAGGAACAGAATCACAGAAATGGAGGTCACATGGAGGGCTATCAGAGGGGCGGGGGAGGAGAAAGAATGGGGGAAAATGTACTGGGAATAAGAAGCATAATTGGTAGGTGCAAAAGACATGGTGAGGTTAAGAATAGTATAGGAAATGAAGAAGCCAAAGAACATACATGGATGCCCCATGGACATGAACTAAGGGGGAGGAATGCTGGAGGGTGGGGTGGTGCAGGGCAGAGGGGAATAAAGGGGAGAAAAAAAATGGGACAACTGTAATAGCATAATCAATAAAATATACTTAAAAATAAATTAATTAAAAAAATCTTTTTTAAAAACCCTCAATTTTTCACAGGATATTAAAATGTTAAATGTATTATTTTTGTATATTAGGCACAGAGTTCTGGCTTTTTTGTTCTAAATACTAATGAAAAGCATGGACATTTAAAAAGTTAATGATGGAATTAATGGTTTATTAGATATGACACCAAAATCATAAGCAACAAAAAAAAGGTAAATTATAAATCATCAAAATTAAAAACTTTTTTATTCCAAAGGACTTCATCAAGAAAATAAAAAGACAACCAGCAGAATGGGAGAAAAGTCTTGCAAATCATACGCTGCATGCATGGGTTCTATAGACAATATATGAAGAATTCCTATAACTCAATAATAAAAAGTAATGTAATTTAAAAATGGGCAAAAGATCTGAATAGATATTTCTCCGAAGAATATATATAAATAGTTACTAAGCACATGAAAAGATTTTTAAACATCACTGGCCATTATGAGAATACGAATATAAACTATGAGGCATCCCTTGATGCCCACTATAATGGCTAGAATCAAAAGGAAAGCCCTGACTGGTGTGGCTGAGTTGGTTGGGCATCACCCCACAAAGCGAAAGGTCACCAGTTCGATTCCTGGTCAAAGTATATGCCTGGGTTATTTGTTTGGTGCCAGGTCATGGCGCGTGCAATAGGCAACCGAAAGATGTTTCTCTCTCACACAGATATTTCTCTCCTTCTTTTTCCCTCCCTTCCCCTCTAAAAATAAGTTTTTAAAAAATCTTCAAAAAAAAAAAAAGATAAGTAGTTTGGAGAAGATGTGGAGAAACTGAAATTTTCATACATTGGTAGGGGGACTGTTAAATGGTGGAGCCACTTTGGAAAAAAGTCTGACAGTTCCCCAAACGCTTAAACAGTTACTATATTGCCTAGCAATTCTACTCCTAGATGCATACACAAGAAAAATAAAAACTTATCTCCACACAAAAGTGTTGTGCACGACTGTTGATAGAGGTGTTATTCTTAACAGCTGAAAAGTGGAAACAACCCAAATGTCCATTGACTGATAAATGCTATATCCATGCAATGGAATATTATTAAGTCACAAAAAGCAATGACAAGTTAGTAAATACAACATGGATGAACCTTGAAAACACTATGCTAAGTGAAAGAAGCCAATCATAAAAGAATATGATATATTGTATGATACAATTTATATGAAAGGTTCAGAATAAGTAAATGAACAGGAAAAAAAGTAGATTACTAGTTCCTTAGGGCTAGGGAAAAGAGAGGGTATAAGGAAGTGATAGCTAAAGGGTATGGTTTCTTGCTGAGGTGATAAATATGTTCCAAAACTGACTGTGGTGATGACTGCACACACAGTATTATCATATTAAACACCACTGACCTATACACTTTAAATGGGTGAATGTATGGTATGTGAACCATATCTCAATAAAGCCATTATTTTGTAAAATGATAGGATTATCAGCCTTGTCCTGACTCACTTCCTCACAAGTAGGAACTTTGTTTGCAGAAGCCTGGAGAACCTCCCATAGTGCAGAATTGTGATTCCATGCTAAGCTCTCCAAAATTTGTTCTTCGATGCTATTCAGGTGTTTCACCATGTCCCTGGAAAGTCCTTCCTCTGAGCGGATCATCACCTCAATAACCTGAAGACAAGAAAATTGAGACGTCAATGTAGTCTCAAGCAGTCAGTTCTAAACTGGGTGGGCTTGCATGTATGACAAGTTCTGGTTTTATTAATGACACAGAACCAAGGAAATCTTTGAAGGAGTTTTTAGGATCTTCAAAATACTTTCACATACACCACTGTTTTTCATGTTTTCTTTATACATGAAATACTAGGACAATGATAGGTGAAAACTGTTAACCTCCCAATAGTGATAGAAGTCAGGTGTTGAGTTCCCAGTCCATTGCTATTTTGAATTACTGCTATTTTCAATGTGAATTTTTGCTATTTTGAATTCACATTATTTTTCCTAATAGCCCAAAAGAACAGAATGAATAACATAAAGAAATTTTGTTTATATTGGGTTGGCCAGAAAGTTCATTTAGTTTTTTCTGTACGATAAAAGACACATTTTTCATTTTCACCAATAATTTTATTGATTTGGATATTTAGAGTATGTTGGCTATCTCCTGTGTGGTATAACACTGTTTGTTCTCAATATCTTATTTTGATGGCTATCGACTTCAGCTGGTCTACCTGACCATGAAGCATCATCCAGCAAGAAAGCTCCAGCACAAAACTTCACAAACCACCCTCGACAGGTTCCATCAATCACAGCACCTTCTCCATACACTGCACAAATCTTTTTTTTTGCATTTCAGTTGCATTTTCACCTTTCTTGAAATAATAAAGCGTAATATGCCACAATGCTGCTTATTTTCTTCCATCTTCAATATTGAAATGGCTACACAAAAATTCACCAATTTTGATAAATTTTTTAAAAAAATGCATGCTACTATGACAACTGTCACAATACAATCTAACAAAATTGTTTTGAAAGAAGTTAGAGACAAGTAAGCACTACTAGAGCCATCTTATCCTCCCCCCAAAAAATGAACTTTTTTGGCCAATGTAATATATATTATAATTCCATTTTAAAAAGTATCTGGAACAGAAAAATATTAAGTGATTATTATTATTTATAATTAGAATTTTAATGTGATTTTTAAATATTTACATCTGTAAGTATTTTGTTTTTTTAAAGAGTATATATCATTTATGTGGTTAAAAAACAAAGGCATTTAACTTAAGTAAAAAAGGATGTAATAAATAAAAATAAATTGCTGTTAGGTAAGGAGAAAAACAACTCTTCCCTTGAGTAAAATTTTATACATTTCCTAACAGTAAAGCTAAACAGCTAAACATACACATAAACATTAAAGCAGAAAGAAGTAGTTTTTCCTAAGAAACTAAAAATATATTTAAATCTCACTCAATCAACAATTCAGATGGATAAAATTCCCAATGATCATTTTCTACAACTTTAGGTTTATTTTAGGTACAAAAATTTAACTCTTCAATCATCAATGACTTGAAAGTAGTGCAGAAGACAAAATATTAACTAAATCATGCCAATAAGTGTAATAATAGTAGCCTTTGTCTTAAATTCAAACACGGGGTAACATTATGTTATTGTAGCTGTAACCTCTATGTTGTATAAGAAAAAAAGTCAGTAAAAACAGTTCTAGCAGAAAAATAGAGACTAAATAAGATTCACCCACACTGAATTAGTTCAAATTTGGGAAAGAAACATGATCTGTTATTATAGTTTCATTATCTAGGCTATAACCAGAATCAATTCAGACCTTTTCTTTCTCCTGGGAGAGATTTTGTCTTTTATCATGCAACTTTTTAACAGGATTATTATGTTTTAAAAAATATTTTATTTTTCAGTTGATGTACAGTATTATATTATTTCAGGTGTACATCCCAGTGATTATGTATTTATATAATTTACAAAGTGATTACCCCAATAAATGTAGTCCACATCTGAAATCTTAGTTATTATAATATTATTGTCTATATTCTCTATGTTGTTTGTACTTTACATCCTTGTGACTATTCTTTAACCACAAACTTGTACTTTTTAATCCTTTCGCCTTTTTCACCCATCACCCCAAGACCCTTCTGTCTGGTCAAAATGTTCTCTGTATCTATGAATCTGTTTCTGGACTGCTTGCTCATTTATTTTTTTTTAATTTGTTTTTAAAGGTTTCACTTATTTATTTTTAGAGAGGGGAAGGGAGGAAGAGAGGGAAACATCAACGTGTGGTTGCCTCTCAAGCGACCCTTACTGGGGACCTGGCCTGCAACCCAGGCACATGCCCTGACTTGAAATTGATCCATCAACCCTTTGATTCCCAGGCTGGCGAACAATCTACTGAGTCACACCAGCCAGGGCTATTTTGTGTTTTTTAAGATTCCAAATATAAGTGAAATTACATGGCATTTGTCTTTCTCTGTCTTAGTTCATTCAGAACAGGTCTCTCTAAGTCAGCAATATTCAACCAGTGTGCCAGAATTTTTAAGACATGCAATATTTAGTTGGGAGCACTGACCTGTTTCCCTTATATTGTCAAATTTTTAAAAAAATTAAGTCACCACAATAGCTGTCTGGTGTCAATGCTGTATTGAACTATAACTATATAGGTCATATAATAAGAGTTGTGGTTTATTGGTCATGTCGCATAATAAGGTTGCATGTGATTGGTTAATTATTGGTACCAGAAATTCTTATATACAAGTATAGGCACCTGTTTGTTTTTTTTTTTAAGTCTTCACCCAGGGACATGCTTATTGATTTCAGAGAAGGGGAAAGGAAGGGAGAAAGAGAGGAAGAGAAACATCAGAGAAAGGGGAAGAGGGAGAAAGCAAGGAAGAGAAACTTCGGTCTCAGCTGGCACATGCTCTGACTAGGAATCAATTGCACAACTCTCTCAGTTCATGGAATAATGCTCCAACCAACTGAGCCACTCCAGTCAGGGGAAGGCACCTGATTTGTTTTAGAAGTCATTTGGGAGCAAAAAAGTGTAGGTGTTTACTATTATTATTGTAAGTTACACATATTTTTTTTGTCAGATTGGCAAATAATCTATTTTTCGGTGTGCCATAGAATTTCACTAATTAGTTTATGTATGCCACGAAATGAAAAGGTTGAAAAATCACTGCTCTAGGTCCACTCATGTTGCAGACAGCAAGATTTCTCTCTTTTTTTTAATGGCTGTCATATTCCATTGTATATATGAATCACTTCTTTATCCATTCATCAATTAATGGGCACTTCAGTTGTTTTCGTATCTTGGTTATTGTATGTAATGCTGTAATAAACAAATGGATGTATGTCTTTTCAATTTAGTGTTTTGGGCTTCTTTGGATAAATACCAAGAAGTGGAATTACCGGGTTCTTCATTGTCTCTTGTTACAGCCTTTGTTTAAAAGTCTATTTTGTCTGGTCTAAGTGTTGCTACTCCAGCTTTTTTGTTTGTTTCCATTTTCATGAAGCATCTTTTTCTATCCCTTTACTTTCAGTCTGTGTTTTTCTTTCTGAAATGAGTCTCTTGTAGACAGCATATGTGCAGGTTATTTTGTTATCCATTCAGATATCATAGGTCTTTTGATTGAAGGATTTAATTCAATTGCATTAAAGTAATTATTAACAAATATACATTTATTGCCATTTCATCATTCATATTTTTTATTTTCTTCTCTTCTGAAAGAGGACCCTTTAACATTTCTTGTAATACTGGTTTGGTGGTTTGGATAAACTCCTTTAGGTTTTTCTTGTCTGGGAGGCTGTTTATATGCCCTTCCATTCTAAATTATTGCTTTGCTAGAAAATCTTAGTTTCAGGTCCTTGTTTTTCATTACTTTGATTATTTTGTGACAATCCCTTTGGCCTGCAAAATTTTTGTTGAGAAATCAGCTGACAGTCTTTTTTTAAAAAATATATTTTATTGATTATGCTATTACACTTGTCCTTTCCTACCCTTTATTCCCCTCCTCCCTGCACTCCCCTCCCACAAGAATTCCCCCCCACCCTTAGTTTATGTCCATGGGTATGAGTACATATAAGTTCTTTGGCTTTTCCATTTCCTATATTATTCTTAACCATCCTTGCCTATTTTGCACGTGTTATTTATGCTTCTTATTCCCCTTCCCGCTCCCCGCTGATCTCCATTTCTGTGATTCCATTCCTGTTCTAGTTGTTTCCTTTGTTTTTGTTTTTAGGTTCAGCTGTTGATAGTTGAGTTTATCATTTTACTGTTCATAGTTTCTGATCTTCATCTTTTTCTTAGATAAGTGTCTTTAACATTTCATACAGTAAGAGCTTGGTCATGATGAACTCCTTTAACTTTACCTTATCTGGGAAGCACTTTATCTGCCCTTCCATTCTAAATGATAGCTTTGCTGGGTAATCTTGGATGTAGGTCCTTGTCTCGCATGATTTTGAATACTTCTTGCCAGCCCCTTCTTTTCTGCAAGGATTCTTTTGAGAAATCAGCTGGTAGTCTTCTGGGAACTCCTTTGGAGGTAACTGTCTGTTTTTCTCTTGCTGCTTTTAAGATCCTCTCCTTATGCTTAATCTTGGGTAACTTAATTATGATGTGGCTTGGTGTGTGCTTCCTTGGATCCAACTTCTTTGGGACTCTCTGAGCTTCCTGGAAGTCTATTTCCTTTACCAGATTGGGGAAGTTCTCCTTCGTTCTTTTCAAATAAGTTTTCAATTTCTTGCTCTTCCTCTTCTCCTTCTGGCACCTCTGTGATTCAGATGTTGGAACGTTTAAAGTTGTCCCAGAGGTTCCTAAGCCTCTCCTCATTTTTTTTTGAATTCTTGTTTTTTCACTGTGTTTGGGTTGAATGTTTATGTCTTCCTTCTGCCCCCAATTGTTGATTTAAGTCCTATTTTCCTTTCCTTTACTGTTGGTTCCCTGTAAATTTTTCTTTATTTCACTTTGCATAGCATTCACTTTTTCCTCCATTTTGCAACCATACCCAACTAATTCATGAGCATCCAGATTACCAGTGTTTTGAACTGTGCATCTGATAGGTTGGCTATCTGTTCATCGCTTAGTTCTATTTTGGGAGCTTCAATCTGTTCTTTCATTTGAGCTATTATTTTTTTTGTCTTAGGGCACTTATGATGTTGTAAGGGGCGGAGCCTTAGGTATTTGCCAGGGTGGGGCAACCTAGGTGCTGCACTGTGACGCTGTTATGTGTGGGAAGGAATAATGTCGCTCCTCACTGGCTCTTAGTAACTTCCCCCACTACCCACAAGCAAATTGGACCCTTTTGGTGCTTATTCCCAGGGGGGTGGGTTTGTGTACATTCTAGGATCCTGAGAGTCTTTCCAACGAACACTCCTGTGAGGCTGGGAGTTTCTCCCACCACCACAGCCCCTACAGGATTTTACAGCCAGAGGTCTTGAGGCTTTCTTTTCCTGCACTGGAACCCTGGGTTGTGTGGTTTGTCTCACTCCCCAGCTGTCCCTCCTGGTTTATCCACATACAAATGTGGGACTGCCCTGACTGCCAGCCACTGCCTTGCCACATGTCCTCTCTGCCCTGCCTGCCCGTCTCAGCCCCACCTACCGGTCTGGATGAATGTTTCTTCTTTAGCTCTTTGGTTGTTGGACTTCCATACAGTTTGATTTTCTGGCAGTCTGGTTATTTTTTGTTTTTAAATTTGTTGTTGTCCTCCATTTGGTTGTGTGAGGAGGAAAAGTATATCTACCTACACCTCCATCTTGGGCGGAAGTCAGGTCATCCAGCTGACAAGTCTTAAAAAAGCTCTCTTGTAAGTAATTAACTGCCTTCTTCTTGCTGCTTTTAAGATTTTCCATTTGTCTTTAACCTATGGCATTTTAATTACAATGTGTTGTTGTGAGCCCCTTTGGGTTCATGTTTGTGACTCTCTGTGTTTCTTGGACTTGTACATCTATTTCCTTCAGCAAGGTAGGGAAGTTTTTCATCATTGTTTTTTCAAATAGGTTTTCAATTCTTTGCCTTCCCTTCTCCTGCCGGCTCACCCATGATGTGAGTTTTTTGTACACTTAAATGTCCAAAGGCTCCCTAAACTATCTTCATGTTTTTTTGGATTCTTGTCTTTTTGCTCTTTGGATGGGATGTATTGTGCTTCCTTATCTATCACTGGCTTGATCCCCTGCTTTTGATTCCCTCCTGTACTGTATTCTTCACTTCAGTTATTATAATGTATTCTTCATTTCTGACTGGTTCCTTTTAATGTTTTCTTTCTCTGTTTTTATGTTTCCTATCTATTTGTTGAAGTTCTCACTAAATACATCTACTCTTCCCCTAGGTTCATTAAGCATTTGACCATTCTTATACACGGTGTTTTAAACTCTACTTCTGGTAGATTGCTTATCTTCATTTTGTTTAGTTATTTTTCTGAAGTTTTGTTCTGTTCTTTCATTTGGGACATGTTTCTTTGTCTCCTCGTTTTGCTGCCTCCGTTTTTGTTTCTATTTATCATGTAGAGATGCTATGTCTCTCAGTCTTGGTAGAGTGGCCTTATGTAGTACGTGTCCTGTAGGGTACAGTGGCACAGCGACCCTAATCATTCCAGCTATGTGCTTCAGGAGACCCCCCCAACCCCCATGGGCTGTATGCACCCTCCTGTGTAGTTAAGCCTTGATTGCTGTTGGCACGTAAATGGGAGAAATTTACCCCAAGGCCCAACAGCTGGGAGAACTGGCCATCACTACAGTGGAGGAGCTGCTGTGCAGAGGGTGATCCCACAGAGCAAGATTTGCTTCAACAGGACTCTGGTGACCAGTAAGTCTGCCCCTTGTGTGTGTCACTTACAGAGGCAGTTGGGTGGTACTCTGGCCTGTTCTGAAGCTGTCTATCAGTTGCGCTGGCCCTGGGAACTCCTGGGAGATGCAGGTCAAGATCAGCTGCCACCTATGTCCAGCCTGGGGCTACCTAGCATGAGTTACAGAGTGATCTGCAGATGGTTGCTACCTGTGCTGGGCTTTGAGGTACCTAGGACAGACCAAGTTGTGAACCAAGTCCGGGTGACGCTGCTAGTGCTTGGCCTAGGGTGACTTGGCAAGAGGTATGGGACAGGCTGGGGCCAGATGCTGTTTGCTCGGGGTTTGTGAACCTTTGAGAGATTTTTGGAAAGTCTGCAGTATGAGCCAAATCAGGCCATTGTTATGCAAAAGCCCCTGGAAATGCTTTGAATGGGCCTGAAAGTTGTGTGGGGCAGGGTCTTGGAATCAACAGGATGGGGGCAAACAGTGTTTGCCAGGTTAATAAAGACTCAGATATGTCACCTATGTCCTTGTTCTATGGGGGAAAGGGTTCAGCAAAGGAACAATGGCCTTTGCCAGAACTCTGCCTGGGGAAAGCTGCCCTTCTAATTGTCACTCAAAGCCTGACAATTCAGTTCCTTCCCATATGTCCCTAGGGTCTTTCTGGCTGCCACCCCAGCACTAGAGCTCAGAGGGGTAAGTCCTAGTAAGTCAGTGCATGGGCCCTTTAAGAGGAATGCCTGGGACTCCAGGAACCCTTTGTTCACTCAGTCAGAGTCCCCACTGGTTTTCACAGCAAAGTTTGGGGGACTTCTTTTCCCGGCACTGGAGCCCCGGCCTGGGACTGGGACTCCTTGTTCCTCAGAGGGAACCTCTGCAGCTGAGATATCCCTCCTGATTTTTAACTGAAACATGTGGGTATGGGACCAGCCTGTTTTGCATCTCCACCCTTCCTACCAACCTTGATGTGGCTTCTTTTTTATATCTTTAGTTATAGGACTTCTGTTCAGCTATATTTCAGATGGTTCTGAATGATGGTTGTTCTGTAGTTTAGTTTTAATTTTCATGTCGTTGTGGCACAAAGCAAGTACTGCATTTAACTAATCTGACATTTGACAGCAAGTCCAGGATTATGATTTTTCATTCATAAATATGGAAAATCCAAAGTTAACTACTAAGTTCCTGGTTACATTTATCAGTTAGTGACAGAAAAAGAACCAAAGCTATGAGATTGGCTTAATTTATATATACCCTTCATCCTCTCCCTTTTGTCCTTGATTCCACCCAAAAGGAATATATATTTTCAGAATATCTCTGGAAACATTTTCCAAACATCATTATGCCTTGTTTCCTCAACACTAAGATAAACAGAATTCTTTTGTGTGCGTTATGTGTTTTTGTCTCTAGATAAATACAATTCTTATGTGAGGTACACTATATCAGAACTTTGTTTTCATCTCACCTTATAAAAATAAAATGGCTGCAAATTGAGAACTTCAATAATCCAGGGAAAAGTACGAGGTGAGCTATAGGCAAAGAGCACAATTTCCAAACAACAAGCCATCAAGGAACGATGAAATATATCTTGCTCTAAAAGAACCTTGGGGAAGAGAAAGACCAGAGTTTAATATTTCTAGCATTTCAGCCTTTGTCTCTTGTTTATAGAGTGACTATAAAAATAATACAAAATAACTTGTGTACATTATCTTATAGCAGATTATTAGAGATATAAATTTGAATTCTCAAACTTGTAAAGAGCTTTCTTATATAATCCTGCTCCATGACAGATATATTTAAATGAGGCCTACATCAAAATCTGCTTTGAAAACTGAGCACATAATAAAATAGTCAATATTCCCAAAAAGAAATATTTTCTTTTTTAAAGAAAAGCACTAGGAATTTTTTTTTAATTTTTAGAAATTTTTATTTATTGATCTTTAGAGAGAGAGGGATAGAAAAACATCAGTTTATTGTTCCACTTATTTATGCATTCACTGGTTGACTCTTATGTGTACCCTAACTGGGAATCAAACCTACAACCATGGCATATCAGGGTGACATTCTAACCAAATGAGCTACCTAGCCAGGGCTGTATTTTTTAATCAATAGTTTTATTACCAGTGTTTTGTCAACATAAGGGTTTATTAATCAAAATATCGAAATCAAAGGTATAATGTCACAACTAAGACTAAAAACTTCAGAACAAGATACATTTTACTATGAAGATAAAGTCCTATTTCATCATTGAGTCTGAGATTCAACATCAGTTTTCAGTTTTAAACATTCTATTTGTGCCATCCTTCTTTGAAATGCCACTCCCAATCAACAAGCAGAAAAAGAAACAGAAACTCTTCGGGCGAAAATTATGAGTCATCTGTAACTACAAACTATAATATGCAAAAACTGGAAGTGGATGGAAGGATGACAAATACTCAGCAGAAAGTAAAATGGTCAAACATAAGGGCCTGAAGAGAGACATTTAAAACAAATGAATCTGCTCTATGCAACCTGAGAAGAAACAAAGCAACTGAAGGCCCATGCAGAATAGAAAACAGGGGTTGGGCAAGGAAAGTTTGATGTAGTTAGAACTACACCCACTCAACCCCCACTCTAAGGAGTCAGAGGATAGGCCTCTAGACTTATCTCAACAGAGATGTGAAAAATTATTCTCTATAGAATTGAATTAGAGGGACTCAAAACTTGAGAACACTAGACATAAAGAGGCTGAGGTTTTAGGTGAAATGCTGCAAACTGAATTGTGAAATCAAGTTTCCTTTCCTTATTCTGCTCTACACCACCAACTATGAGGCAAGAGATTAGCAGATACTTCTCTATAGAAACTAAAATATTTCCAAAAAGCCTTTAAAGACACCAACAGTTAAGGGTCTCAAATATTACATAATCACCTGAGGCTGGTGGACTTTTATTCTCACTCTTGCATACAGAGCTTTGAATCAAACTGTTTGTCAACATAAGAGTTTAATACTGTCTCATTCAAATATAAGTAAACATTCAGAAATAATCTAACATTTGAGGAAAACTTCCCACTGAAATACAAAGATCAAAATAAACAGAAAAGAAACTCAGAGGAAGGACAATGAAGGCATCAGAAAAAAACTTCAAAGAAATCTAAATAACCTTAGAGAGCAAGAAAGAGATCTTAGAAATGAACATATATCTAAAATAAAAAATTCACTAGGATTGGATGATGAAAAGTTGAATAAATATCCTTGGAATTAGAATAAAATGATAAAGAAAGAAAAATAAGAGAAGAAAATAAGATTAATCCAGAAGTTCCCTCATCTGAAAAATAAAAGCTCCAATGAGATAAATCAGTGGGGAATATATTATCTAAGAAATAATAATGCAATAAAATGACCCCAAACTACAGGACATAAATTTCATCACTAAAAGAGCAACTCTGTAGGAATGCTCATACACGAATAAAAAGACATGCAATAACGCACTTTATTATAAATTTCAGTACATCATTGATAAACAGAGAATACTAGGATTCCAGAAAGTAAACAGAGGCCACATACCAATAATGAGAATTAGAATGCCACCGGACTTCTAATTAGCAACACTGGAATCTAGAAGATAATGAAGCAATGCCTTCTAAATCATAAAGGAAAATGACTGCCAATCTAGAATTCTAAATATAGACAACTACCAATCAAGTGTGAGTCTAAGAAACATTATACAAAGTTTTAGAAATAGGACTTAAGGCAAGGTAAGGTTTCCACACCTTACCTGAACTGGTAAAATGCCTAAACCAGTGGACTGTGAAGCTAGGTGTATGTATAATGCAACTTAGAGCAACCACTAAAAAAAACTGACACAAATAAATACAGTCTAAAAAATGTTCAAACCATCCACAGGAAGGTAAGAAAAAAAAGAACCAGAAAGAACAAATAGAAAACAAAATATAAAATGGTAGATTTATGCCCCAACATAGTGATGTTTCAAACTTTTTCATCTCATGGTACATATAAACTATGATAAACAGTTTACTGAATTACTAAAATTCGGTGGCACCCCCCAAAATATACTTTTTTCCAATCTGACAAAAAAATAGGTATAATTTTTATTAATTCACACTATATGGCTATTATTGTGTTGGCTGTTGTCATTTTTTTACTTGACAATCTAAGGGAAAAGAAGTCAGTGCCCCTGACTAAATAGTCAAGTGTTGCATGTTTTAAAAATTCTTGTGGCACACTGGTTGAAATTGTTGCCCTAACATATCAATAATTTTAAATGTAAGGGGTCTAAATTTACAGATTAAAAGAGACTGGCAGAGAAGATAAAAACACAAGACTCAATCCTATGCCACCTATAAGAAACTCACTTCAAATATAATAATACAGGTAGCTAGAAAACAAAAAGATAGAAAAAAGACATACCATGCAGACATTAATCAAAAGAGAACAGAAGTGGCTATAAACATCACATAGACTTCAAAACAAACCAAATCACCAGATTCAGAGGGACACTTTATCATGATAAAAGGATCAATTTACCAAAAAGACATAGGAATCCTCAATTTGTATGCATCAAACTAGCTGAGCTTCAAAATATGTAAATTAAAAAAATCTGAGAAAACTGAAAGGAGAAATAGGTAAATCCACAATTATATTTAGAGATTTCAATACCATTCTCTCAACAATTGGTAGAACTACAAAATCAGCAAGGATGTGGAGAACTCAACAACATCATCCATCAACAGGTTAGAACTGACATTTCAGAACCCTCCACCCAACAGCAGAATACACAATTTTTAAGTGCCCAGAATTGCCAAGATAAAAACATGTCCTGTATCATAAAATAACCCTCAACAAACTTAAAAGAACTGAACTCATACAGAGTGTGTTATAAAAGTACAGAAGTAGAAAACAGATTAGTGGCTGAAGGGAGTGAGTGTGACTATAAAGAGGTGACATGAGGGAGATCTTTGTAGTGGACAGTTTTGTATATTTAGTGGTGGTTATATAAACTCCACATGTGATACAATGGGAGAGAGAGAGACAGACAGACAGACAGACAGACATTGTTCCAATGTCAATTTCCTGGTTTGATATTGTACTATGTAAAACGTAACCACTGGAGGCAAAAGGGTACATGGGACCTCCCTATAATACTTTTTCAACTTTCTGTAAATCTATAATTATTTCAAAGTAAAAAGCTGAAAATTTACTTCCCTCTCATGAGGCTATAGGAGCACATGCTCTAACAAATATTAATGTAAACCATGAAAGACATGGAATCCAGGAGAAAGGGGAATCAACAGACGAGAGATGAAAATTTCCAGGGTGAAACAAAGAGAGATTTTATTACAACAGTTATGTTGCACCCCTACACATCAATCTGTTCCTATTGGAACTGATGGTCAGGAGATTCTAAGAGTGGCTAGAGGCAGAAGGATGAAACTGATATATAATAGGTTTAATTTTGTAAAAAAATTCATTTACATAGCAATTAGAGAGAATGGTCAGATTTGATCAAAAGTTCAAAGAAAATGAAAAAAACCTCCAAAGAATTTATTCCTCTAAAACTCCTGGGAGATAAGGGCAAATGCTTTATATATCAGTTGGCTTAATATTCAGGGGAAGAGTGTTCATTACTAGCTAGCTTCAAATGAAGGACAGAGAAACAGGACCTGAATGGAAAGGATACTGATAGTGTACCAAAGATGAACTTTACTTATTTCACATTCCTGCCTAGAGATTGCTAGCTCTAGATGTGTTGAAGACAACTAAGGCCAACTAATTTGTCATCTTGGCTAAGTTTGCCATTAACATTAACCACTGGCCCTCACAATGCATTACAGAACCCCTCAAGCCTGCTTCTAGGCTTAAGACTTCTGGACCTTCCTAGTGGCTGAGAGAGTGGCTTTACTTACTGACATGTCCATTCCATGAAGTCTTCGTGTTTCCTGAACCATTACAGTCTCTAATATTTTATAATACAAAATTTCTGCAAGCTTTAGTCTGTTTACAGCAAAGTCTGTAAGGGGAAAAAGGGGAAATGTGCTATTGAAAAGTAGCTGTTAAGGACTAAAGAACAAAACATATAAACTTAAATCTGATATATTAAGAATAACAGGGAAGGAAAAAACTCCAATTTCTACTTTTTTGGGGTGACTATCTTTAATGCTGTGTTAACTTTAGTTTTGTGTTCTTACCTATGTGAGATCCTGGTTGCTCATCTGTTGATTGAGTATAGTGTTGACAGAAAGTCTCTCCAATTTCTTTCACTATTTTCATAATATTTCCCATAGGATTACGCATACAAGATCTATAAAATACAACAGAAACCCAATTACCGTGGGTGGAGAAAACCAGCCTACCAACATTTCTTGTTTTAAGAATTAGTTTGGTCTTTTAGTGACCAAAGTTCTATTCTCAGTTATAAACCTAGATATGTAAATATAAGCTTATTTCAAACAAGTCTACAGCCTATAAATAAAATAATTTAGCATATTTTTAGGAATTTCAACATCAGAGAAGTCAACATCCTCTATGTTACGCTTGTATTTATGACATTCTAAAAAAGGCAAAACTCTAGGGAGAGAAAACATGTCACTGGTTGCCAGAGGCTAAGGATGGCACAGGGGTTGACTACAAAGAGGCATAAATTTGGGAGGGACAATGGAACTGTTCTGTGTCTTTTTTTATAAGTATTTTAAAAAAGATTTTATTTATTTATTATTAGAGAAGGGGGTGGGAGGGAGAAAGAAAGGGAGAGAAACATCAATGTGGGAGAGAAACATCAATCAAGTTGCCTTTCATCCTCTCCAGGTCTGGGGACCAAACCTTCAACCCAGGCATGTACCCTGACTGGGAATTGAACCGAAGATGTTTTACTTTGTAGAACGACACCCAACCTAATGAGCCCTATCAGTCAGGGCTATTCTATGTCTTGATTTTGTGTTGGCAGTGGTCACACAACTGTGTGTACTTGTCAAATCTCATGCAATGATACATTGAAAAGAACTATTATATATAAATTATACTTTAATAAACATGACTTTAAGAAAAAATAGAAAGATGATACGGCAGTGTTTACACACACACAAACCCATACAGATCCACATGTTCTGCTGGAAAAATAAACTACATGTATTTCTTACCTAAGCCAAAAGAATTAACAAATAGCAAAATATAGCACTAAAAAGGAAAACAGGAAGAAGCAATTAACTGTTACCTTTAAATTATTGTTATCTTTTTACCATTCAAATATAGAATATAGGTCTTAATTCAGAAATGACAAACAAATCCAAGACTGTGAGAAAGAGAGTCATTTGCCCAAAGCCACATATCCAATGCAGGGTTCAGTACTTCAAACCCATGTTCAAACAGACCCTATCATGTTCAGAGAAATAAGTATCACAAATGTCAAAAACATTACTTGTCAAGTTCTTGTCAGGTTCTAATGCAAAGCTTTGCCTCTTGTGCTGTTTCCTCCCAAGTTCTTTGTTTTTTAATATGCTGTAAAAAGCATGTCAGAAATTTACCCTCTTAAGTGTACATTACAATATTGTTACCTATGCGCACACTGTTGTAAAACTTTAGACCTAGAACTCTAGGTCTAAACTTTTTCATTTTGCATGACTGAAACTGTATACCCCTTGAACACTTCCCCATTTCCCCTTCCTTCAACCCCTGGCACCACCATTCTACCTTGTATTAGTCTGATTACTTTAGATACTGCATTTAAGATGAATCATTCAGTATTTTTCCTTTTGTGATTGGCTTATTTCACTTAATATTTCAATGCTCATCATGTTGTAGCATATGACAGGATTTCCTTCTTTTTAACACCTTCTTTATGTATATACCACATTTTCTTTCTCTATTCACCCACTGATAGGACACTTAGGTTGTTTCCGTATCTTAGCTACTGTGAGTAATGTTGCAATGAATTTGGGTATGAAAGTGTCTTTGACATTCTGTTTTCAGTTCTTTTGGATATATACCTAGAAGCGAGATCACCAGGTCATAAAAATTTTATTTTTCATTATTTGAGGACCCTCCATACTGTTTTCTGTATCAGCTATACCACTTTTATAACTCCATCAGCAGCATGCTAGGGTTCCAATTTCTCCACATACTCACTAACACGTTATTTTCTGTTTATTTATTTGTTTTTTTGACAGTGGCCTAATGGATGTGAGTAGATATTTTTGGTTTTGATTTGCATTTCCCTGATAATTTTGGTTTTAATTTGCATTTCCCTGAAGGCATCCTGGTTAGGGGTGCTAAGAGATGGTAGGGATGGTGGGGTACTGGAGTGGGTAGAGGTCTAAGCATGAGAACAAAGGCTTAAGCAGCATCCAGGACCAGGAGACGAAGCCATGAGAAGGCTGGGCACCCACCACTCGGGAACCAAGGTCATTTGGTAGAACTACAAAGGGATTTTGGAGTCAGTTGCAATGATGATTTGTCCGGAGGTGAAGGGCCTTCTAATGAGTTGGTAGCAGAGGGTGTCCAGAACAACCCACCTGATCTTAAAAGGGCCTGCCCTAATATAACTAGTGAGTGCTACTGGTCTACTCCCTCCTTTTGCCCTTCTGGACTTTTTGCCCAGGATTTCCTGGTCTCACACTCTTCCCCACTGGTCCTGAGGATCCTTGACTTCCAGGAAAGCCAACTGCTCCCCAATCACCTTTAGGACCTGGAGGACCTGTTATTGGACCTGGAATGCCTCATGGACCATCTGCTCCAGTGTGATGATCTTCATCTCCTTTTTCACCTGGGGGAGTCTAGGAGGACCTTGAATCAAAGTGATACTTTTCTTTTTCTTTCTTTTTTTTTTATCCTCACCCAAGGACATGCTCACTGATTTTAGAGAGAGAGGAAGGGAGAGAATGAGAGAGAGAAACATTGATGTGGGAGAGAAATATCAATGTGAGAGAAAAACATTGATCAGTTACCTCTTGCACACACTTGTTTCTTTCACCGACATAATTTCTGCTGATGTGTTATACACATGCTCCTCTTATTTACTCATCTCCTGCCACTATTCCAATGATAGGTATGAAAATTATAAACACAAAGAGATAAAGGGCAATTGGTGCAGCTTTGAAGGACTTCAATCGCTCTTGAAGGGCAGGGTCATTTGGAGGATTCAGGGGTAGCAAAGCCATCATTGAGCAAGCATCAAACTTCATAGCTATCAATGTCTTCCTGTTGATCGGGAAAGCTATCTCATTGTTCCATACTTCTGAAGCAGAAGCAGAGGGAGCAGAAACTGGTAAGAACACTTAAAGGGCCATTTTAATGAATTGCTGGAGGCTGAGTGAGGACTAGTCTGAGAAGTGGGAAACTCCTGGGGGCTACAGTCTTAGGGGGACCTCCAAACTTTCCTGGTTTTTATCTACAGGAATCCTATCAGGTTCTCATAGTTGCATCTTTTTAAAAAGAAAAAAAATTGCATAAAGTTCTGTTTTGTGGCTGTACCATCAAAATGTAAACAGTCCTCCATTTGATGAACATTTAGATTGAACCCATTTAAAATCAATGTAAAAAAAAATAATGCATAATTTAGTTTCAAGACAGGAACGTCAGAGCTAAATAACCTTTCAGATGTATTTAACCTTAAAAGTCTATAATAACATGAATATTTATATAAAATTTTTATTTATTTATTTATTTTTAGACAGAAGAGAAGGGAACGAGAAAGAGAGGGACAGAAACATCAATGTGTGATTGCCTCTCACATGCCCCCCTGACTGGGGACCTGGCCCGCAACCCAGACATGTGCCCTGACTAGGAATCGAACTGGTAACACTTTGGTTCGCAGGCTGGCACTCAATCCACTGATCTAGGACAAATATTTATATAAAAATTTTAACAGGTACTTCTATTTGCTTTTAGGTCAACACACTTTGTAATTGAAATGGTATATTAAAAAACTTTCCAGATATATATCCATTATCTTAAGAATTCTAATATACTGAATACATAATGGAATGTAAAATCTAATTTTAAAAAGAGACATTTAGAAAAATAATAGTATCGAACTTACTCAAAAATATTTGTAAGTTGTTCGCTTGGTGCATTTTTCAGTCCAGTCACAATACTCTGTAACCGGCTCACACTTTGAGTAGCTGAAGCAACAGGAGTAATGACTGCTTCTTTTTCTCGTAAATATCTCCGTCCTGTCAGTGGGGTGGAAGGTGCAAATGTTTTCTGTCAAAAAAAAAAAAAATCTGTGAGATTAAAAAATTACCTTCCCTCTCATGTTTAATTCAGTACATATACCATTGTCTCTATTTATATTTAGTAGGTTTTTTCTCCTCCTCTTCTGTTACCCACCAAATATTTATCATGCTTATAACTTCCTTACATTTGAGTAACACTTTTTCAAAATATAATCCAATTTTATCTTCCTAACATTCACTTGAAAAGTAACATACATTTTTGTTTTACATATGAGGAAACAGGCACAGAGAAGTAAAAAAACCTGATAGTTAATCTGGTAGTTTAAGCTGATAGTTAATGGTAGAGCTTGGATTAAAATTTAGGTTTTCTAACTTCTAGACCAGTGACATTCAACTGGTGTGCTGTAAGAACTTTTAAAACATGCAATACCTGACTATTTATTCAGGGACACTGATCAGTTTTCCCTTAGACTGTCAAATAAAACAATGACAGCAGCCAACACAATAGCTGTATGGTGTGAATACCCTGTCTCGAACCATAATAGGTCATATAATAGAGTTGTATCTTTTAAAAAAGTTTTAGTGTATTTCAGTTTATTTATTTTTAGAGAGAGGAGAAAGGAGGGAGAAAGAGAGGGAGAGAAACATCAATGTGAGAGAGATATCGAACGATTGCCTCTTATACACACCCTGACCTGCGACCCAACCTGCAACCTAGCCATGGGCCCTGACCGGGAATTGAATCTGAACCAGCAATCTTCTGCTTTGAAGGACAATGCCCAACCGCCTGAGCCATACTGGTCAGGGCTACAGTTGCATCTTATTGGTCATGTTGCATGGGATTGGTTAATTCTTGGTACCAGAAATCCTTATATACAAGTATAGGCACCTGATTTTTTAAAAAAGTCACTTAGGGGCAAAAAGGATAAGCGGTTGTTATTATTATTATAGATTAATAAAAATTATACCTATTATTTTTGGTCAGGTCAGTAAAAGATATATTTTCTTGTGTGCTGCAGAATTTTAGTAATTAGTTTATATGTTCCATGAGATGAAAAAGGTTGAAAGTCTGTTCTAGACCAGTGACTTTTTCATTAAATTTTATCATCCAACCCATTTTACAGTTTTAGACAAAATTAAGTCTTGGCTATTAATAATCAAGTTTAGAGTTTTATGGTTGAAGTTCAGGAAGAGGACATAGTTTGTCATGAGTAGGAAAGAAAACTAAATTTTAAAGCAATGGAACAGTGGCTAAAGTGACAAAAAGAAAGATTAGTAAGAAAACCTAGCCCTGACCTGTGTGGCTCACTTGGTTGGGTATCCTCCCACAAAGCAAAAGGTCACTGGTTTGATTCCCAGTCAGGGCACATGCCTGGGTTGCAGGTTTGGTCCCCAGTCAGGGCGCATAAAAGAGGCAACCAATCAATGTTTCTCTCTCACGTTGATGTTTCTCTCCCTTTCTCCCTCCCTTTCATTTTCTCTAAAAATAAATAAATAAAATCTTAAAAATATATATATTAAAAAAAAGTGTAAATCCTTTATGTAAAAGGATTTACATACTCTACCAAAGACACATACTCTACCAAAAAACCCAGGCATTCTGTGAAAATATATCCAAAATATAAAAAATAGCAAGAAATGCAGTAAAAATACTAAATGTCATAGTTTTTAAAAATTACCTTTTAAGACTTTCATGGGAAATATGAATTAGTAGAAGAAACTCAAGATTTAACTTGAAAGATGCTTCTGCTGTTAGTAGAATCACACAGAGAGAGAAAAAGATCATTCAAGACTGAGGCCAGTCTAGGTTATATTACTTTTTCGAAGTGTTGCTGAAGGTTACACTCCACGTTAGCCTGTGCTGTCAGTTTCCCTAGTGGGGTGTCACCAGCGAACTTTCGAGGAGTTCCAATTTCCTCTTCTGCATCTGCTCCCAAAAAGATCCTCTCGTCAAAATCACCAACAGTTAAAACATATTCTTCATACTCCTTGTTCACTGCTTTGCTGAAAAGAGAAATACTTTAATCTGCAAGAATAAAATTAAGTAATAAAATAAAACACAATGGATTTATCTTGACTTGAAGACAGATTTAGACTCCAGAGCCTAGGAAAACTGATGACTTTTTAGTTCTTATTAAGTCTGCTCATCTTAACAGTATCAGAGGTTCCTATCTCACAAACATTCTTCACTTTCACATACAGAGCAATAAATAACTTTGAAAGGTAAGTGAAAGAGAATATATATTTAATCTGAAAACTAGCTGAACCTAAATTAATATCTGATCATTGTGGAAACAATAGTGGCTTTGAACTCTAAGTATGCTGGGAGTTTGCCAACATTTGTTTAATAAAAGAATAAAAACTCAAATACAGAAACCACTGGGTCTGTTTATGACTTTCTCTGGAGAGTGGCTCTCTTAAGGGCCAATGGTATATTAAAATAAATGTACTTAAAGACAACGAGGCTTAGTGACAACACCCAATCAACGTTACTAAAGCAGCAGGAACTTGAATAAAATATTTCACTTAACAAACTGCAGTAAATTATTATTGACAGCCTATAATATACCAGATGCCATTACATACTCACCTATTATCAGTGAAACTGGAAAGGTCCAAGAGGCATTCTCCTTTTAAAATCTGGGAAGAAAAAGCATATTCTCTTGTACAAAATTAAGTTAAAATGGATTAAAGATGTACATACAAAATCTGAGACAATACAGTGCATAGGAGAAATTGTAGGTACTAAATTTATGGGCCTTGATTGTAGAGAATATTGTATGAATTTGACCCTAAAGGCAAGGGAAGTAAAGGTAAAAATAAATGAATGGGACCATATCAAACTAAAAGGCTTCCATATATCAAAAGAAAACCAGCAACAAATTATAAAGGCAACCAATGGGAAATTTTTGCTAACAACAGCTCCAACAGGGGGTTAATATCCAAAATTTATTAAAAAATTCATACAACACCAAAAAAACAAACAATCCAAATTAAAAAATGGGCAGATGACCTGAACAGACACCTCTCCCAAGAAGACACACAAATGGCCAACAGATACATGAAAAGATGTTCAACTTCACTAACTTTTAGGGAAATGCAAATCAAAACTACAGTGAGAGACTATCTACTCACATCTGTTAGAATGGCTATTATCAAAAGATAGGGAATAACAAGTGTTGGAAAGGTTGTGGAGAAAAAGGAACCCTCATTCACTGCTGGTGGGAATGTTAACTGGTACAGCTACTATAGAAAACAGTATGACAATTCCTCAAAAAATTAAGAATAGAGTTACCATATGACCCATGCACCCCTCTTCTGGGTATCTACCTGACAAAATGGAAAACATTTATGTGCAAAGATATATGCACCCCTATGTTCAATGTAGCATTCTTCACAGTGGCCAAGGCATAGAGACAACCAAAGTTTCCTTTGACAGAGGACTGGATAAAGAAGATATGGTACATATATATTGATACAATGCAGTGCAACCCAATCATAAGAAAAGATGAAATACTGCCATCTGTGACAAAATGGATAGATCTTGAGAATATTATGCTAAACAAAATAGGTCAGTTAGAAAAAACTAAGAACCATATGATTTCACTCATATGTGGCATATAAAACTGAAACGCACAGATACAGACAACAGCACGGTGGTGACCAGAGGGGAGAGGTTAGGGGGGTAGTAAAGGGTAAAGGAGGGGCAAATATATGGTGATGGAAGATTATTTGACTTTGGGTGGTGGGCACAGAATGCAATATACAGATATATATCATAGAAATGCACAACTGAAACCTATATGACAATGTGAACCAATGTCATCCTAATAAATTTAATAAAAAATAATTAAACATATTAATATATACATAAAAATATAACATGTATCTAAATTTTCAAATTGGTAGTTGTTATAAATCATACAAACACAAAATATAATTACTAAATATTTCAGACCAATAAAACTAAATCAGTATGCAAATAAAATATTGAAAAAGAATTAAAGCCAAGTTTTGAAAATACTTCAAAATTAGTCTATAGCAGTGGTTTCCAAATTTTAGTGATATATTAATCACTTGGGAGAACTTGTTTAAAATGCCAGCTGATGGACTTCAAAGCCTGAGCTGAGGCAGCATTTTTAGCAAATTTCTCAAGTGAGTCTAGAGAAAGCTATCCACCTTTAAACATTTGTCAATGGGGAAGAGAAACTAACACATATTGAATGCGTTAGGCAAGCAAGATTCAAAGGGAATATAATTACTATCACTGGTGACAGGAAAATTACACTGTTATTAATACTTTTGTGTACCCATGCTTCTTAAGATTACTGCACATCAGGAGTTTAAAACTCAAATGCCCTCAGGGGCCAGGGTTCAATATACACAGATGATGAGAACAGAATGCATACTTCCCATCTTCAAAGAGGTGACCATGATGTAACTTGACAATAGTTACCCATGTAAAGTCATGTGGAAATTCCAATCCAGTATTGCCATAGCTTCTGATTTTTGAAAGGTTTTCATAGGAAAGGTCTTTATACGAAAATTAAAAATTTAACAAAATAAAAATGAAATAGAGAATATCTTACACAGGCCAAGAAAAACATCTGTGGCCTATGGACAGGAGGACCATTGTCTGAACTAGGATACTTCTGGAGTGAAAGGAGCTTCTACAATAATTATGTTGAGACAGTCCAAAGCTAGATAATCTAAGCAAACCAAGATGTACAGTCATTGTACCCAGAGGCCACTAGTGTGCTGCTTCTTTAGAGTACAAGACATATAACCCTTGAGTTCCTTTAAAAGTTTACTCAAGATACCTTAGCTGGTGTGGCTCAGTGGACTGAGAGTCCGCCTGAGAACTGAAAGGCTGCTGGTTCAATTCCCGGTCAGGGCACATCCCTTGGTTGCAGGCTGAGTCCCCAGTTGGGGGAGTGTGAGAGGCAACTGATCAATGTTTCTCAGTTTCTCCCTTTCTTCCTCCCTTCCCCTCTCGCTAAAAATAAATAAATAAAACCTTAAAAAAAAAAAAGTTTACTGACGATGTTAAGGTACATATAAGGAGCCATGATACACACACACACACACACACACACACACACAGACAAAAATATATTTTTTAGGAAATATAAAAATATAAAAGTATGTGAAAAAGAACCCAGTTAGTAAAGGCTTTATGCTTAAAGAAAAATCTCATAATATTGACAGAGAGCGACCACAGTGATGACCTAATCCAAATCCCCCTTTTTACCAAAGAGAAAACTCAAGGTCTAGCTAGACTAAATGGCTAAATATTGGGAAAATAAGAATTTAAGTGCCAAAGGAATAAGCCACTTTATAAATATAGAAAAAGCTAAGTAAATGCTTGGGAAAAAAAATACAGAATGCATACAGATGGCCTGAAAGTGTCCACAAAACTATAAGGGATTTTATGCTCTATTTATAAGGAATTAAAGCTATAGTTGTTATACACCATCCTACCTCTGTTAGGCAGTCAGGATTTACTCAAATGTGGCAGTAAATTAGCTTACTCTGACCTCCTGTTATCATAATTCTTTTTTTAAAAAAGATTTTATTTATTTATTTTTATAGAGAGGAAAGGAGGGAGAAAGAGGGAGAGAGACACCAATGTGTGGTGTCCTCTCATGCGCCCCCTACTGGGGACCTGGCTTGCAATCCAGGCTTGTGCCCTAGACTGGGAATTGAACCGGTGATCCTGTGGTTCACAGGCCGCCACTCAATCCATTGAGCTACACCTGTCAGGGCTGTTTTTTCATAATTCTTTATCAGAACTGTCTACCATTGCCTCTTACAGTGTACTTTTACTTGACAGTACATATAGTTGGTCACATTCTTCAACAGCTCAGTTTTTCCTATCACAGAAGACCATAGGCCAATTCTGCATCAGAGCAAGGACTAAAACCTAGGAATCTTGAGTCTGAGTACTTAAAATATTGTCTTTTCTTTTGAGGTTGCTGCTTGCTAACCCCTAAAAATGTCTTAGTCATGTAATAATAAGTACAGTACCTTCCTGTCAAAGAGTTTTGAAATATATGGCTTAAAGTAATGTTCTTTTATTCCTTTTGCTTCTACTAGAAGTCCATCATGCAGTTCACACAGTACAGCAATGATGCAGGGAGGCTCTTCTGGAGCCCTGAAGTCAGCAGTATGAAAATCAGATGGTAAACCTAGTTTGAGGAAAAACAGGGGAAAAAGAATATGGTAAACTTTTAAAACTCTTTTTCTAAGGTCTCAAAGGACATATGAGGGGGGAACCCCCAAAGGACCTGGAATTTACTTATAAGAAATTGTTCTCATTCTTACATGTTTAAACTTTAGTCACCTTCAAAGTACTCTCCATTTGATGCAATACACTTATCCAGATGTTTTTTCCACTGCTCAAAACAGTTTTTGAACTCATTGATTTTGATGCTTTTTCATGCTTCTGCCACTTTTTTGTTTTACCTCTTCCATACTGACAAAACATTTTTTGAAGACTTTTTCATCCAGGGAGATTAAAAAGAGGTTGCTGGGCGGGGTGGTGTGCCATGAAGGGCGAGGGCACAGGGGTTATGATGTTTTGGGTCACAAACAGCTATAAGTGTAATGTGGGCAGCAGCACCCGTAAGTCATTAATCATGAAGTGGGCAAATATGCTGAGTCTTCAAAAAAATTCTCTGAAGCCTAGTGCCACCTCTCACAGCATCAGCTCAGACACTGAACCAGATGGGTTCCTAGAACACCACCTAGTGGGGGAAGCCTGTACTGTAAGGGACCTGCCCTCCAGAAGATAATTCTGGGGTTTTCTGGGTCGCCCCCTCATTTATGAAGGAACTATAGACAGGAATAATGGTGCAGAGGTTGACTATGGAAGTGGGGGACTGCCTGGGTGGGAAAGGGGAAAAACTCGGACATCTGTGGAAAAATGAATGAATCAATGAATCGATGAATCAATAAATAAGTAAATAGGGTCTTACCTTTAAATGATGGATTTAACAAGTCTCGTCTGTTTGGACATATAATGGCATTGGCAAAAATCAGATCCAAGCAGCACAGAAGTAAATGATAAGAGTTTACTAAATCATCTCCGATCATACGAAAATTACCTTTGTAAGAAAAAAAAGACACACAAAAACCAGAAACCTCTCAGGTCAGATAGCACCAAGTCCCCATAACAGAAATGAAAAACCACTGAAAGTATCACCTTACCCTTAGTATAAACAAAGAGGGTCCAACAGAAATTAAAGAGATCCTTAACACTGCAAGGACTCCTCCTAAAAAAGGAAAACAAATGTATTTTTTTATACAACTAACTTGCTAAATATCACTCCACAGCTGTCATATAAATAACAAATAGTAAAGTCAAATTACATACAAAATTCCACTCACAAAGGACAGACCTCTGGTTAATTTAAACAAACTTAAACCTTCCAATCTGCATAAAATCATCAGAACATAAAAAAAGTAAGTGAAAGTATTACCCTGAATTTCCAGATATGGGTAATTATAAATGGATTTTAATAAAAACTTAAAGTTTTTGCAGATGGCTACTTCTGGTAAAAAGTGGACTTTTAAAAATGCAAATTCCCATAGTAACTTTATATCAAATTTTTATGTCAATAATGGAAGGATTAAGGGTCTCACCTCTGCTTCCTGCTTCGTGGTAACTTTGGTGTTTCTTCATATGGATTTTGAAAAATATCTAAAAAAATTGGCTCAAATTTTTTGAAAATTATAGTAGACACTTCAAAGTTTCTTTCTAGTCTTTCTATACGTTCACGAAATTCTTGTGGCAGATTTGACATGTCCATCCACTTCTTCATTTTACTAAAAAACTGTATCAAACTAAACAAATAGGAAAAAAGCAAACTTAAAATGAGTTTATATAATGGATGGAAAAGGAATCATTCTGTTTATGCCTCAAAATCTTTATTAAACAGCCTGAATTTTTAAAAAATAGCAAAAATATCTCACTTCCAAGTGCTATGAAATTACTTTGGTTCCCAGAATCACTATGGGAATATTTTGAATTAATGGTCACCATATACAACATCTTTTACTATGCAGGGAGTGACAGTGCCTATGTAACTACAGCACCTATACAATAATCAACATATAAATTAAGCAAATGTCAGTCAAGAGATTGATAAGTTCACAAAAGCAGTTTCAGGAAAGACAGAATCTCCCAAGCTGTGGATTCTAGAAGTTGCTCACAGAGAACCAGACAGTTACAGGTTAAGAATAAAATTCAAGTGTTTATGTTCCATTGTGTGATTTCCACCATTAAATATAAACTAAGAAGGTAGTACATACCCAGAAAATAACAGATTATTACTCCACTTTTCTGGCTTATTTGATTATGGGTACATTTTTATGTCCATATTTAGCATGGTCTAAGACTGAAATTCTCTAGTGTTAAAGCTTATTTAAGTGTCTAGCACTTTATGATATCTGTCCAGAAAAAGTCCAGACATTGTTAACATAATGAGAATGGTTTGCTCAATATCGGTGTAACATGGCAGCCAAGGAGAGTGGACCGGAATGTACATGAGCGAACAATGACAACTTCCCTGTACTAGTCAGAAGGGGAGGTAGAGGCCTGTGAGTGAACACGTGTACTGTGTGGCCATCACATTCAAAATGACTGAGTAAGTAGAGCAATGAATCTGCATCAAATTTTGCATGAAGCTTAAACATTCCTCAGTGGAAACTATTCAGATGATTCAGAAGGTCATAGCTATGGGCAAATGGTGATTGGTAATTTGATCACGACAACACGCCTAACTCATGCATCGCGTCTCAGGCAGAGTTTTTTTGTGAAACATCAAATCACCCAGGTGACTCAGCCCTCCTATAGCCCAGATCTGGCACCCTGCAACTTCTGGCTTCTCCCAAAACTAAAGTCACCTTTGAAAGGGAAGAGATTTCAAGAGATGGGGCAAACATGGCTTGCCTCCTTGTACAATCACAACAAAAATTACAGCTAAACTATAAAACAACTATTACCCAGAATCGTCAGGAAATCGACTTGTACTGAAGTCTGACAACTAAGGAATTAAAGAAGTCAAATTAATTCAGATGAGTAGGACGGGTGGAGATGCAGAATGGGTGGTCCTACACCCACATGTGGTAGGTAAAAACTGGGAGGGATGTCTAGGGAGCAAGGCACACAAAACACCACCCAGCCCAGGGTTCCAGTACAAGGAAGATAAATCCCTGTACCTTCCAGCTGTAAAAAACCAGTGGGTGTTGGGGTGGTGGAAGAAACTGCGGGATTCTCGGGTGTTCCTCTTAATGGGTGCACAATGGGCTTAGTACTTACGCAGACTCACTCCCCCTGGGCTCCAGCACTGGGGCAGCAGCTTGAAGGGCACCAGTGGCATAAGGGGAGACACTAAAGTGCCTGGCATCAGGGAGAGTGCTGGGGGACAGTTTCCTCCCAGACAAAACTCCAGAGGCCAGGCAATAGCCATTGTCCCTTTTCTGAGCCCTTCTCCCCACAGAGCTACAGAGCAGGTGGTACTATATCTGTGACTCCATTAACCTGGTTCATACAGGTTGCCTTGCCCAGACAATTACCTAAGACTCTGCCCCATCCAACTTATAGGTGTGCTTTTCTACATTAAGCCATGCTACTCAGACAGGGAGTCAAAGCAGCTCTACCTAATACATAGAAACAAAACACAAAATGAGAAGACAAAGAAACATGGCACACATGAAAGAACAAAACTCCAGAAAAAGAACTAACAAAATGGAGATAAGAAATCTATCAGATGCAGAGTTCAAAACACTCGTTATTAGGATGCTCAAAGGAACTCTTTGGGTACTTCAAAAGCATAAATATGAGCCAAGCAGAAATGAAGGTTACACTAAGTTAAATAAAGAAACTTTACGGGAAATGAACAGTGAAGGGAAGGAAGCCAGAAATCAAATCAATGTTTTGGAACACAAGGAAGAAAAAAATTCCCTCAGAACAGCAACAACAAAAGAACCCCGCCCACAAAAAATGAGGATATGGTAAGGAGCCTCTGGGACAAGTTCAAATCATAGGGGTGCTGGTAGGTGAAGAAAAACAGAAAGAAATTGAAAACTTATTTGAAAAAATAATGAAAGAAAACTTACCTAATTTGGTGACAGAATTAGACATATAAGTCCAGGAAGCACAGAGTCCCAAATAAGATGGACACAAAGAGGACCACACCAAGACACATCAAAATTAAAATGCCAAAGTTTAAAGATAAATAGAAAATCTTAAAAACAGCAAGGGAAAAGCAGAGAATTACCTACAAAGGAGCTCCGATAAGACTGTACCCTGATTTCTCAAAAGAAACTTTGCAGGCTAGAAGAGACTGGCAAGAAGTATTCAAAGCAATGAAAAGCAAGGAACTACAACCTAGATTACTGTATCCAGCAAAGCTATCATTCAGCATTGAAGGGCAGAAAAGTGCTTCCCAGATAAGGTAAAGCTAAAGGAGTTCATCATCACCAAGCCATTATTACATTAAATGTTAAAGGGACTTATTTAAGAAAAAGAAGACCAAAACTATGAGCACTAAAATGGGAATAAATTCACAACTACCAACGATTGAATCTAAAATCAAACTAAGCAAACAAGCAGACAAAAACAGAATCATGGATATGGAGGTTATCTGACTGGTTACCAGTTGGGAGGGGGAAGGGGGAGAATGAAGGAAAAGGTGCAGGAATTAAGAAGTACAAATAGGTGGGTACGGAATAGATAGGAGGATGTTAAGAACAGTATAGGAAATGGAGAAGCCAAAGAACTTAAATGCATGATCCACGGACATGAACTAAGCGGGTGATTGCTAGAGGAAATGGGGGGTTCCTGTTGGAGGAGGACAGAGGCACACAAATTGGGACAATTGTAATAGCATTATCAATAAAATATGTATTTTTTAAAAGGGATGAAATTTCAGATCATGGATAAAATTTAGGAAAATATGATGGAGCAGCTGATGACAATTGGAACTGTGTGAGGTCCCAAGGTGCCTACTTTAAAGGGGACTGAGGCATCATTGTCCTATGTACAATGTTTCTTGTATCTTCTATCTTCTTCAGTAAATGTCTCTTATTTTTCATAATACATGGATGGATACTTTCTGGACAGACCTCATTTTTCAAATGACACTTGTGAAAAGGTGATGGAAGACATCATCAGCTAATTTTCCACAGATATTCAAACTCCAGACATGATGCTTAAAAGTCTCTTTAATATTAACTGTTAACAAAAAATAAATAAATTAACTGTTAACAATGGAAGCGAAAAAATTTGCGAGACTACCGAGTATTTTGGCTGACAAATTCTATTCCTTGATAGAGGCCTTTGTTTTGGAGGTGGGGTACACTCAGCGTGTTAAATCCTTTACTTGTCTGAGGAACTCCCCACTTTTGAGTCTTGCCTTCTACAAGATACATCATCTTCACTGGAGGTTAGGGCAAAGGCATAAAACCTGAGGTCCCTGACTAGATGTATGTGTGGGATTTTGACTTGAGCTGATGGTACAGAGAAGTGAGGAAGTGGTAAATTATTAAGATCCATAGCAATATTGAGCTCTTAGGGGTAAATCCTGTGGCAATGTCCAGGGATGGCACTGCTGGCCATGCAAGCCGTGTCCTTGTTAGATGTATTCTGTGATATGCTCTTTGGCTGTGTAGCCAGCCTCCTTTTGTTACTAGTCATTTTCCAAGTTTAATTTCTCAAGTCATCCTAAAGGCTTTGTCAGCTATTCTCAAGACTTCGTCAGCTATCCAACAAATATCCTTTTAGTAAATTTCTTTTTTCTTTAAATTAGCCAGAGTAGGTAGTTGTTATTTGTTTTATAAACAAGAGCCTTGACTAATACATCCCCATACAAGCCCACTGTACTTATTGTCATCTCCGAAAGGGCTATTCTAACTGGAATAAAGTGCATCAGAGTATTTGAAAATAAAAAAAACTTAATAGCACTGTTATCACTTCACTGACCTTACTATGCAGTATGTCCCTAATCTCATAGGGTTTGTCTCATACTTCCCTCATTACTAGATTTAGGCTAGGCATTTTTGACAGAGTACTACATAAGTCATATCATGTTGTTCTCAGTGGATCATATCCACTTGTCACATTACTGATAACTCTGCACTTGATTTAGGTGGGATCTTCCTGGCTTTCCTCCTCCAAGTTACGATTTTTCCCTTTGTGATTAGTGACTGATAGGGAAAAACTTTGGAATTATATAAATATTCTGCTCTCATCAAACGTCTGTCCCCTAGTTTTAGCATCCATTGAGAATTTTCCCCTCATTACTATGAGGTTGCAAAATGGTGATTTTCCCTCCCTAACTCTATCATCCTTCTACATTTATTATTTGGCTTTCTAATAAAGAGCTTTCCCTTCTCCCCTATTTATCATCAGTATAAAATTTATTCAGTGAATTATAATCTATAACTGTAGTATTCATGTTGATGCTGAGATTACTCCAGATTTGGCTACTACTGGGAACCTTTCCAAGTTAGCTTCTATGTCCCTTGGACATGTCCCCAACATTTTTTTGAGCACTTCCTTACTTTCTGGCATAATAAGCTGTTCAAGTTTAATTAGAAAAAACAGGTTTGAGAGAATCATGCCAAGTGAAATAAGTCAGACAGAAAAGGACAAGAACTGTATATGATTTCACTCATATGTGGGATATGAGTGAAATCAATAAACAAACAGCCAAAAAGAACAAACTCATAGAGACAACAGAATGTTGGTTATCAGAAGGGAAGGGAAGGGAAGTTAGGGGAGGAGGAAGAGTGTAAAGAAGGCAAGATATTATGGTGACGAAAAGAGACTGGGCTTCAGGTGGTGAGCACACAACAGAGTATACAGATATCATATTATAAAGTTGTACATCTAAAATTTATATAAGTTATTAATCAGTGTTACCCCAATAAATTTAATTTTTAGACAAGAGAAAAATATATAGGTCTGCCCTAGCTTCTGAATCAGTAATTTTCTTAGAGACGTTATGCTAAGTGAAATAAGTCAGTCACAAAACGGCAAATACTGTTTGATTCCATTTATATGAAGTATCTAGAACAGTCAAATTCATAGAGGCACAAAGTAGACTGGAGGTTTCCTAAGGTTAGCTAGAAGAGAAAGAAGGAAGATACTGTTTAACTGTTATGAAGTTTCAGTTTGGAAAGATGAAAAAGTTCTGGAGATGGATGGTGGTAATGGTTGCATAACAATGTAAATACATTCATTGCCAATGTACACTTAAAGGTGATTAGAAGTGATTATATATATTTCACCACAGATACAACAAAAATAAGTATACAGAGCAGAGATAAAAAATATGGCACATATATCACAACAGCAGCACACTACTGAACTTTAATGGCACTCAAGAGATAAAAAAGAAAATTATTTTAAAAAATTAACATCATTACTGTTCCAATTAAAATGTATAAAAAAAATTTTCCATGAACTAAATTTTCATTTGGGCTTTACTATAATATGGAAATAATAAATGAACCCTGGCTGGTGTGGCTCAGTGGATTGAGCGCTGGCCTACGAACCAAAGGGTCGCCAGTTCAATTCCCAATATGGGGCATATGCCTGGGTTGCAGGCCGGGTCCCCCATGAGGGGCAGGGAGCCCATGAGATGCAACCACACATTGATGGTTCTCTCCCTCTCTTCCCTTCTCTAAAAACAAATAAATAAATAATAAATTTTAAAAAGAGATGCAGATGTCTGTATTAAAATGAATTAGAAATTCAGCAGGCTAAGAGCGTGGGGGCAGGGGGGCGGGGCATGGGAGGTGTTTAGGGATCCAGCAAAAAAATTACAGAACTCATGGACACGTGGTGATTGTAGGGTGGGAGACGGTGGAGGTGGAAGAGGGTATAAGAGGGATAAATGGCAATGGAAAAAAATACAATAAAAAATAAACTTAAAAATAACAAAATGAATTAGAAATTCAAATTGCACAACAGATACTACTTTTTTTAAAAAAAAATAGTTTATTTATTTTTATTGAGAGGGGACGGGAAGGAGAAAGGGAGAGAAACATCAATGTGTGGTTGCCTCTCATATGTCCCCTACTGGGGACTCAGCCTGCAACCCAGGCTCGTGCTCAGACTGGAAATCAAAATAGCAACCCTTTGATTTGCATGCCGGGGCTCAATCCACTGAGTCATAGCAGCCAGGGCCAGATACTACTTTTTAATACTATACTTAATAATAAAAGAAATTTTTTAATGAATCTTTTTTAAAGTTGGAAGTTGCTTTAAGCTTTTTTTGCAAACTGAAACTGAACATAAAGAAAATTCAAAACAGAGACATACTAATATATATTTCTGTAGATCCATGTGTAATATAGCATGAACTTGGGAGGCTCTGCCACTTACTAAGTATATGGCCTCCTGGAAGTAATTTAACCTCTTGGTGACTTGGTTTCCTTATCTATAAAATAAAATTTATTTCATGGGAATTAAATGAATGAGAACATGTAAACCCTTAGCACCTAAGTGGTGCCTAGCACACAAATACTCAACAAAAATCTCCTAGTTTTACATGTGTATCTATAATCTATACTTATATAGTATTTTGCAGTATGACTTATTAACAATATTTGATGGGTATTTTCCCATGTCTACAAAGATCTACATAATTATTTAAAATTACATTTAAAGTTGAAATTTTGAAAATAGCCCAAAGTATTTATTATAAGTCAATGCAAATAACAACACTTGTAGTTCTTTTTCATTTTTCTGAATGAACATGATGATGCAGATCTACTGTTCTTTTAGCAATTAAGAATGTGACACTTAAAACTTTTTTAAATATCAATCTACATTTAAAAAAGTAATATCTTTTGTCCCATCACTACACTTTTAGAAATTTATCTAATACACATATTTATAGTATTTGTAATCACAAATAATATAAGAACTGGATACAACCTAAATGTCCATCAGTAAGGGCTGGTTAAATATATAAAAATCTTTATATCTGAAAATATTCTCGAGTCATTAAAAAATTAATGATTGAGCCACAAATGGTGATATGAATTTCTGGAATATAAAGAAAAGGAACTGCAGAACAATACATATAGTATGATCTCATTTATGTTTTAAAAAACAAAAACCTGAAAAACAAATTTTTTTCTGTTTAACAATTGATTACAGTAAACTGTCAATAGGGATTAATTCTGGGGAGCAAAAAAAGGAAGAGACTTTCTTACTACTTTCAACTCTTCTGAGTTACTCGAAAAATTTAAACCTTTTAAAAAATTCTGGTAAAGTATGTAACATAAAATTTACCACTTTTAAGTGTACAGTTCAATGGCATTAAGTACATTCACACTGGGCAAACATCGCTACCATTCATCTCCAGAACTCTTCATTATTTGAAATTTTTATCACTAGCTTGTACTGCTCTAAATTTTAAGTTATTCTTTTTTGTTCAGTCTCCCTAAAAATTATTACAAAGATTTTACCAGCACTTTTTTTTAATTGATTTTTTGAGAGAGAGGAAGGAAGAGAGAAACATTGGTTTGTTGTTATTTATTTATATATTCATTGGTTGATTCCTGTTATGTGCCCTGACCGGAGATCAAACCTACAATCTTGGTGTCTCCATTGAAACCAACTGAGCTACCAGTAAGAGCAGGAAGATTTTAAAAATTTTACGTGGTCAGCTCCTGCTACTGGTTCTGTTGGTTGGAGTGCTGTTCTGTGCACCAAAAACGTTCTGGGTTTGAGTCCCAGTCAGGGTGCATACTGGAGGAAGCAGATTGATGTCTCTCTCACATCGATGTTTTCCTCCCTCTCTCTGTTTCCCTTCCTCTCTAAAATCAATAAAACATATCCTCAGGTAAGGATTAAAAAAAAATTTTTTTATGTGGTCAGTGGAGAAAAACAATCTAATAGAAAAACATCAAGCTGTTTTATACTTAAATGGATAAGGTTTTTGCTCAACAACAAAGTGACCTGAACTCTATTAATCTTATTTACACTTTATTTTTATCATCAATGAAAAACTTGATATTAAAGTTTAAAAAATTGTTTTGACTTTATTTTTCCATTTATAGACACCAAAATTATTCTGAAAGAAATTTTTTTAATTTAGCATGAACTGAAACCTAATTGCCTTCCCTGGATAGGGCTTTAAAGTTCGTTTTTTTTCTATCCTGGAAACCCACCCAAATACAAAACTACCTCACATAGTTCTGTCACAGGTAAATAACCCAGAAACAGAGACCATCCAGATCTGGATCACTATTTCTTTTGTTTTGTATCCAGGCAATTAGTTCTATATATACTAGAATATATAGATCCTTGAGTAGATGATCAAAATTAACATCACCAATGAGAAGCAGATAGATATCATATGCTTCCAGATGTGATACACTGAAGACACAAAATCACTTACGTAGTTTTCCACTTGGAAATATATAGCCTACATTTAATCATAAGGAAACACAAGAGAAATCCCAAATGAGGAACAATCTATTGAAAAAGAGAGTGGGTAGTTCTGGACTATATTCTTCAAAAATGTCAATGTAATTAAAGACAAAGATTGTGAAAATATTCCTGATTAAAGGGAACTAAAGAGACATATGTGAAAGTAATACTTGATTCTAGGTTGGAAATTGTACCTAAAGAAAAAGAAATGTCATAAAGAACATTATTAGATCAACTAATAAAACTAGAATAGAGATGATAGATAAAGTTATTGTATCAGTGTTAACTTTGCTGGAGTTGATAACTATAGTTATTTAAGGAAATACACACTCAAGTATTTAGGTATAAAGGGTTATAATGTATACAACTTAATTTGACATGGTTGAGGAAAAAATATTATTTAAGAGAAAGATGAAATAATAAAGCCAATGGGGTAAAATAATAGGTGAATCTGGATTAAGGGTGTATGGATATTCTTTGTGCTTGAAACTATTTTCAAATTTTAAAAAAATTAATGAAAAAATTACAGATAAAGATTTAGTACAGAGGCCTTACGTTGAAGTCAGAATTTGAGGAAGAAAGGCAGTAGAAGAAGAACGGGGAAGATTATCTATATGATAACAAACTTAGAATGGAATGATGTTAAATGTTTAAAAATAAAGAGAAATTAAATTCTAAAATTAAATTTAGGACTTACAAAACAATGTTTGAAAAATCAAAGTGCTTTACCTTAATTTAGCTGAACGTAGTATTCTGGTAAGCGAAACACAATTTCCTTCCATAATACCCTTTCCAACTGTGGGAATAATGCTTTTGCGGCATGCAACATATAATGAACATGCCAACCAGTGTATAACTTCTCCCTGGCAGGGAAAAAACAAATATCAAAATGCATATATTATGTTAAAATGCTTGAATTCTAGAACCAGAAGAGAGATATTTAACATGCTAAATCAGAATTAATCTAAAGCTACATCTCTCACCTACACGCCAAACATAATATTAACATAATTCTCTCAGAACTTCTCAGAATTAGCTTTATTGATTTGAAAACATCAGTCATGGCCTTGATGATGCTGAAATTCTTTTCTATCATTTTTTAACCAGTTTGACAGAGAATGGAAAGAATAGAGTAGAAAAATGACAAGGGAACCACTCATAAAAAATTAGTATCTTACGAAACATAAAGAAGACTGTCATTTCTGTGAGGTAAAAATCTGAGAACATGTTTACACCAATCTTTAAAATAGTTAGCATGGCTCTTGATCTTAGCAGATATCTCAGTTTACAATGTTACAAGAAACGTGACATTTGAGAATTCAACACTTAATTCTCTGAGATAGATTTGAGATCTCCAAGCTAGAATCACTTCATGGCCTTGCTGCTGAACTATATGTTAAATATAAGGATTAAGAGTTAGACACAAAGCTCATAAAACAACATACTACTGTTGTTACTTCCTATTTTACAGATCCTTTTTTTTTAATGAACTCCTGAAATTTATTATTTTATTTCTTAAGATTTTATTTATTCATTTTTAGAGAAGGGGAGGGAGAGAGGAGGAGAAACTTCAATGTGTGGTTGCCTCTTGAGTGTTCCCTACTGGGGACCTGGCCCACAAGCCAGGCATGTGCCCTCACTGGGAATCCAACCAGCGACCCTTTGATTTGCAGGCGGGCGCTCAATTCACTGAGCCACACCAGTCAGGGTTCTGCAGATCCTCTTTTAAGACCAGACTCTAGAACGATAAAAAGACTGATAGATTTCTTCTTGCAATAATCCAAAAGTGGTGGGCAGAGAAATAAGTGGTCACCAATAAAGCTAAAACCCGGTGTTCCTATCTTAAAGCAGTGAGAAGTCTTATTTGCTCAAGACATTAAATGAGGTAGGTAAGCTTAAGGGTGAATATTTTTAGAAGCTTTGATTAATGAATTATTTGGGAATAGCACCTGTTTGAATACAGGATACTAGATGAAAACACCATCACAATAAAGAAAATTTAAGTACTGGAATTACTGCTTTGATTTCTTTTTCCTTAAAAAAATAAAAATAAAAGGGCCCCAGGCACATAGCTCAGTTGATTAGAGGGTTAGAGTGCTGGCCTAGATACGCCAAGGTTGCGGGTTCAATCTACCGTCAGGGCACGTACAAGAAGCAACCAATGAATGCATAAATAAGTGGAACAACAAATCAATGTTTCTCTCTCTGAAATCAATAAATCAAAAAAAAAGCTAAGTCATCTATATTATTTATTTTGAGTCTATGATGCTAGGTCTTAGAAACACGAAGACTGTTTCTGACCTCAGAGAATTCCAAATCTAGAGCTAAGAAAAACAGATACTATTACCCATAATTGGTGAGATATACGCTATAAGAACAAATGAAGATAATGTGTTGCTGGTATAGTATAGAGAATATGATTTTGACTGGAGGTCAGGGAAGGATTCAAACTTAAAATTGCTAAATGGTAAATCACCAAAATTTAAGAGGGAAAGGGGAAAATGTAAGCAGGAACCTGTCAAGAAGATTAGAGAGAGGTAGGGGCTGGGGAGGGTGGTTCTTAGGAAGCAGCAGATATATGAAAATGCCTACTTCAAGAGCCTTCCATCACAAACAAGAAGAAGAAGAAAATAAAACATTTTGGATAGAAAAGCCACTCATAAAATTTTAATTCACACATCTATGCTTTCTAAATCAAACATTTAAGATTGTCTTGACCAACTCTGCCTAACTGGAGATCTAGCTCCTCCATTTTTCCTAGAATGGGGAGTAAGGGTAAAGTTTCCAGGTAGAGGGAATGGCATGGAGAAAGCATGCATGTGGGAACAAGCTTGGCATATTCAAGAATCTGAAGATGGTCCTGGCTGGTGTGGCTCAGTGGATTTGAACACCAGGCTGAGAACTGAAAGGTCACTGGTTCGATTCCCTAAATTATGATCCAGGTCCCCATTTGGGAACTTGTGAGAGGCAACAGATCGATATTTCTCTCCCTCTCGTTTTCCTTTCCTTCCTCTCTGAAAAGAAATAAAATCTTTAAAAAAGAATCTGAAAGAGGCTCCTAGTTTAATGTCCAGACTGGAGTTGGCACTCCATAAATGCTTATTCACTAAGACCAAATGAGGACCTGAGGTATCAGAAATGCGTTCTCAGCCTTTTAAAATCCGTTTGTTTTCATTGAGGGGACGTAATTCATAATATCCCTTACTTTCTTACTTCCCAGTCATGCCATCCACGGATGCAGACCACCGTCCTTTACCCAGTCCATCCAGTCCAAGAGTCTCTCTTGAATGCTTTTCCCTTATACAGAGACACATACACTCAACTCCAACTTTCCAACTCTGTCTTCAAATCCAGCTATTAATTATTCCACTGGGTAGTGAGTCAGTGGAACACTCTATGGGCGAGTCCAGTCCTCCTGGATCACGACAGCTTTTGAATCTAAGGCCACTGGGGTAATTGTTGAAATGCATTCCATCACAATTACATCTCTACACTGGACTTATGCTTATCTAAGTTCCTATAATAATCGGCAGAATGATCCAGGGCAAGACAATCCTCTGGGCCTTGATAGTACCTGGAAGGCAGGTATAATAATACCCCCTGCTCTGCCATGTTCACAGGGCTATTGTGAGGATCAAATGCAATGGCTGGGAGGGGAAAAAAAAAATCTAATAATGATAACCTACATTTATTTTATTTTGTATCATATATAATGACAGCCAGAGACACTGTGCTAAAGCATCAGGACAAGCTAAGTATCCCCCTGTGAGAGAGGAGGAACCTGGGGCCGAGAGGGCGAGCGCTGTACGAATGCCGGCTCCGACCTCCGCGCTGTGCCGTGCGTACTCCCAGGTGAGCAACCCAGACTTCCGCCCTCGCCGGGGGACCGGTGGCGAGGTCCACCGGCTCATAGACTCCTCGGCCTGGCTCCACCACCGACCATGTGCCCTTAGGCAAGTGGACCACAGAACGTGTTCAAGGGGTTGTAGCGAGAACTAAGTGAGGTGACGTATTTAAAGCCCTGAGCAGTACTGTCCTGGCACACAATTCATTTTAGCTTTTATCATTATAGTATTTGCTTTTTTAAAAAGAAGAGATTTAAGGGCAGTGCCATGACGTTTGTGGTGTTTCGCGGCGTGGAAGGAAATCTGGTCGGACTCTCGGGGGACCCTAGAGGGGCTTGTGACCTTGGACAAGACGCTCCTTTTCCGAACTTCACTTTCCCGCCTCAAGGAGAGGGGGGAAAAAAAAAAGGCCAGAATGAGGTACACTCATCCCTCTAGTTTCGCACTCCGCGGCTCCCGGCTGGGCGGCGACCCTTCTCGGTGGAGAAACTCCCACCGACCCATAGGGTAGGGAAGGGGCGGAGCCGGGGTGTGGCCTGGCGGGGGTCGAATCCGGCCGCCCCACCTGCTGCCGCTCACCTCTAGGCTGTAGTTGCCCCTGATGGCGGTGAAGTCGTCCAGGGCTTCGGCCGCGCTCCCCTCGTCCAGGTTCAGCTCCTGGCACAAGGCCTGTAGCGCCTCCCCGGCGGCGGCGACTACCGCCGCCCCCTCGTCGTGGGGGTCGTCCTCGAACATCATTTTAGGCCCTGCGGGCGGCGCGATAATAAACCCCCCGATCCTTTCTCCCTCCTGGGCGCGCTACCCACAACCGCCTGCGCCAAAGCGCGCGAAAATCGCAGCTTCAGAGCGACGTCTCTTCGATGGTCTGCATCCGCGTTTCGCCCCCAAAAAGTCCGTCTCTCCTCCAGGGCTCCCAGCATTCCCTCTTTGGAAATATGATAAGAAGACGGACCTCGGGTCCTGAAAAAAAATCGGGACTTGGCCTTTGGGCAACGGTGGCCACAGCCGGCGGGACAAATTGGGAGCGGAGGGATCAGCACTCCGCGCGCAGAGTCTGCCGGGAGTTGTAGTCCATATCCTGCCCTGAAGCCTGCGACAGCGTTCGTCCCGGAGGCTCGTTGGCTTGGGTAGGGCTGGGCTCTCGGTTGCGAGGTGGCATCGTTCATCTTACGGGGAAGTTTCTTCTGTCCCGCCAACCTATGACCCTGGTGTGCCACTGCTCCGCGGCGCCAAACATAGTCTGAGACTTGCCCTTTGAGTTAGGAGATGGAGGAGAGCACAAGCAAAATGGTCCCTTGACAGAAGGGGCTTGTTGGACTCCGTTTTAATGACTGAACTGTTAGTGGAGCAAGAATGTTAAGGTACATGTCCTTATGTCTTTTTGGTTGCTAAACGAGGCTTGATCTGGACTAAGAGAAACGTGGTAAGGGGGCCTCTTTTTAGCTCCCTGGACCCTGGGAACCGTCCCAGCAAAGTCAGTGCAGGCAGAGGTATGGCCTGAACATAAACCTGAAGGCATGGAACTGGTATCGAAGCTTACCCCTCTGCTCCACCAAAACTCCTGCGTCATCAATAGCCAGAGTGGTTTTCTATTTTAAAGGTAAATAGGAGCATGACAATCCTTCACTCAAAATCCTTCAATAGATTCCTCTTGCCTTTAAAATAATTATCCAACTCTCTTTCTTGGCCTACAAGGGCCCCATGTGATATGGCCCCACCTCACTCCCAGCTATGTAGTTAAGGTTCAACCTCACTGCTTTGTTTTGGAACCTTCTAAATTCCAAGCCACCAAGCTAGTTCTTGCTTCAAGGCCTTTCTCACATGCTGGTCAAACGGTCCCAAATACACCAGATTTTTGCTTGTTTGGCTCTTCCTCATCATTCAAGTTCAACTAAATGTGGCCTTCTCAGGCCATGCATGAGCACTCTATCTAAAATAGCTCACCTCACTCTCCACTCCGTTTGTCATCATAGCACCTAATCACTGTCTGAAATTATTTGTTTATTCATTGGCTCTTCCTACTAAAACGTGAGCTGTATGAGAGCAGGGGCCTTCCTTTCATGTTCACTATATTTCAAAGTTTAGCTTACCTGGTTGATAGTTGTTACTCAGTGTATACTTAGGATGGTGTATTTGAAAAATTACAAAGAGCTCATTGTTGCGTGGATGAGGTAACGAGTCACCAGAGATGAAAAGGGAAGATAACACAAGGTAGGTTGCAAAGCACCTCAGATATCCCACTAAAAGCCTGGACATTATTATCAGTGGGGGTTTCAATGAAAAGAAGGTGATGAACAATCAGCATGTGTTTTGGACGAGTTTCTCTGGCTGCATTGTGACACACGGAATGGATGGGCTAGAGCCTAGATGTGTGGATTTGGTTGGAGCCTGAGCCACCCTAGGAAGGAGGCAGCCTGGAGAGAGGTCTCTGGCCTAGAACTAAAGGGGGCACTGCTGAAGGAGTCCCCAGGAACAGAGAATTCCGCCAGGGCCCAGAGGGTGAAAGGTGATGCTGTTAACTAGACTGGGAGGACAAGCAGGGATCAGACAGTTCTCAAACTGTTATGTTTGGGATGCTTGCAGAAATTTAAGAGGAGGCGATTGGACCGTGGAAAGTGGCCTGTTGGGACTTGGGAACCAGCAGCAAGCTGGGTCTCAAATGAATAAAAACTCAAACTCCCTGCAAAATCTCAAAACTCAAATCGAAGTACCTATGTGGTAGTACTTCCAACTCCACCCCCTTCTAGAAGTTATTGCTTCAACTGACTTAAGGATCATCTCATTATAGTCTTGGCATATAGTGCCTACATAAGGACTCTCCTTGCATGAGTTTTTACTTAGAATATCGCTTATGAGCCGTCTGTCTCCAGTGCCAAGGGGTCTATCACAGAAGTTATCATCCCTCCTCCAACTTCCTTTCCTGTCAGCAAAGAAATTTCAGGATCAGTGGAGGTGAGATGCATGAAAAGTCCTCTTGTAGGTCCATTTGGTTTGCTAATGAAACTACTGTGCTTATATAAGAGAGCACTCTGGAGTGGGGACACAGCCTGGACATGAGGATTTGGGAATATTTGTGCAGCACCTGAAACTAAAAGGAGGCTCATTATTATGGAGTGTGATGGTATGAGAAACACTTTAGAAACCCCAAGACTTAAGGGATGGTCAGAATTTGGGGAGTGAATGAAAAAAAACTGGCCAGAAAGGTATAAAAACAAAGAGTGGTATCCCAAAGGCCAGGAAAGAAGTATTTCATAGAATCCAACACTGCAGAAAATTCAAATAGGTTGAAGACTTTAGAAACCTCATAGATTAGCATTCATATGTTTTTAGTGACCTTTGCCAGAGCAGGTTGTTTTTTTTTTTTTTTTAGAGAAGGAAAGGGAGAGAGAAAGGGAGAAAAACATTGATGTGAGAGAGATTAATTGGTTGCCCCTAGCACATGCCCCAACTGGAGATCTGGCCCGCAACACAGGCATGTATATGCCCTGACTCGGAATAGAACCAGCAATGTTTCTGTTTGCAGGCTGGCGCTCAACCCACTGAGTCATGCCAGCCAAGGCCAGAGCAGTTTTCTCTAGCACAGTGGAGGTGGAAGTCATATTACTATGGCCGAGAGGCTAATGGGAGGAAGGTCAGAAAATTGAACTAGGAAGTAAAAACTTTTCATTAAGTTTTGTGGAGGAGAGGCAAAATAAGGGTATTTTCTAGAATAGGGGAAACACAAGCATGGTGAATAATCACAGTCAGAAACAGGTAGAGAGACTCTGAAGATAAAAAAAAAGAGGAGACATGATTAACGGGGCCAGTCCCTGGAAAAGGTAACCGAGCCAGGAATCCAGATCTGGCCTTCTTCATGCTCCTGTCTGGAAGGTGATGATCTCCTTACATCCTGATTCAGCAGACCTGCTAGGTGCTCTGCTAAGTGGAAAACAGAGCAACTTACAGTAGAGTGGTAATGGTTTGGAACAATTGTTGAGAAATATCACTGGGTCTGTCAAATGCAAACATCATGGTTGGAATTTTGGGGGGGAAAATGGAGTAAAAGTAAGTCTCCTCCATGGGATCCTGGCTTTCATAGCTGCTCTTGGAGAAGATAACAAGAGCTGAGAAGTCTCAAGTTTTTTGCCTTTTCCATAACTAATCAATCTCTTTTTTTTTCTCCCAGATATGAACTGCAAGGGGTGATTCTGGCCTTGAAAAGAAACAAGGATAATAGTTAATAGCACCCAAAAATTATAAACCAAACAAAACCAGAGACTCATTGCTCCATTTTTCATCTTTTTAGTAGTTTGGTTTGCAGTGAGTTGCAATATAAGTACTATAGCCCATTTCTTCTTTACTACTGGATTTGAGTCTCCTGATTCTTTTCCCAATTCACGCATACTAAGTCTTGAAAACCCTTCATTTTTTCATTCCACAAATGTTTACTGAATGCCTGGTATGTGCAAGATACTGATTTTTCCTTTGCTGTGACTTTCGGATCATCCAGACTTGAACAGAGGGGCACTGCTGGCTTCAAAAGATCTAAGAATAAAAAAACACCTCTCAAAGGTCATCCACCAAACAAAAATGAGAAGCATTATTGCTTTTTTCTCCTCTTCAGAGCTGAATTAGGACTTTCAAGAAGTCATATCCTGTCTATGTAAACCAGCAGGGGTGTCCAGCCCATGGCCTATGGGCCGCATGTAGCCCAGGATGGCTGTAACTGAAGCCTAACACAAAGTCGTAAATTTACTTATAATCTTTTTTTGCTCATCAGCTTTTGTTAATGTTTGTGTATTTAATGTGTGGCCCAAGACAACTCTTCTTCCAGTGTGGCCCAGGGACTCCAAAAGTTTGGACACCCCTGAAGCCTTCCATTTTCATCTCCTGTCTTTTCTGATCTGTCATTCTTTGCATCCTATCAGTCACTTGTTTCTATGACTTTTCTTTTTGCCATGTTGTAATTCTCAGACTGTCCTGAGTTGAATTATTAGGAAGCATAGGCCTTGGAAATGAGACAAGATAAAAAGAAAATATACTTTAGTGTCCTTATTTCCCTTATGAAGTAAAGCAGATTTAAGCAGTACTTCCCCTCCACCCCCATTTCTGATCCAGAGATACCATGAAGGTTGTTTCTATTCTGATCCCATTGTGTGATAGCCTCTATGATTAGCCTCCCTGTTGTGGTTTAATATTTCAGACTTCCCCAGAGCATGTGTCCAAAGCCTGGTTATGACCTTTAGAGGCTCCAAGACTAAAAAAATTATAGTGTGCACTCTCCCAAATGCTATTCAAAATATAAACAATTCTAAATCACAAAATAAGTGTACAAAAAAGTTGTGATTATTTTTCTCAGAATGGCTTTTCATTTTGAAATTGTAATAAAAGTTTTTGTCCTCCACCTTTGCTATGCCCCTTAAACAGGTACTTTATCAGCACATGCACTTTTTAGAAAAAAAACTCTCACCTAACCATCTAACTGTCCAAAACAAAAAAAAAAAACACACAACACAACAGTTTGTAGTTGAGGGGGAGGAGCAAATCCTGACCTCATCATTCTACTGTTCTTGTTCCTCCAAGGAAAAACTTAAGTGGTAGTCCCTACACTGGGTCCCTGCATGGAAAGTAGTGCCAGCCCTACTCACAAGGACAATTAAGTGATCTCTATATTTCCTTTAGACTTTGGATAAAGAACTGAAAAACTGAAAACAAAAATGTAACTTGAAATTGTTGATTGTAAGGCCTTTATCCATCAAAATCTATACCCAGGGCACTCTGGTCATAAGAAGATATTTCAGAATAGCAATAGCATTTTTTTCCGCCTTTAATAGACTGTCCAGGCATAGACTTCTTTCTTCCTAGAACCA